CAAGGTAGCAGATTGCTTTGAAAACTGTGTGTCCTTCAAGACCAAGACTTCATATTCTGCTAGATTTTCTGGGGGTGGCTGATGTTATTTTCCATTAGTTGCTGTTGTTGTCATGTGCTATCTATTTGGCTATGAATAAGCAAGCTATGAATGAGAAACCTCAGAGACTCTGTCTCGAAGGTTGAAGCAACTATGTTATGCTATCTGTTCCAGGTGCTTTGTTTTTCCCAAGTGTTCTCATTGCAGTTTCCTCTCCACTTTCTAAAACTGGAGATTTATCTTTCATATGGTTTGCCTTTGAATGAATCTGTCACACTTATATGGTTTTCCCAGTATTCTTTCAAGCATTGTAATCTGGTCGTCTGCTAGTTATAGAGCACCTCCACACTTGAATTAAAATTCCCTTTGATTTCTCAGATCTTCTGGGAAAGGTCTCTTGTTCTTCCTTTTTTGTTGTCACCTTCTATTTCTCTGGATTGATTATTATCATAGTTCTCCATGTCTCTAAGCACAAGTTGCTGAACAGTTGCATTCAGGGTTCTGACTTTATTCCTGTCACCTTTTACTTTTGGTTCTCATCTGTCCTTATCTGCTTAAAGAGTTTTCTGTAATGTCCATTGAGTCCTGTCTTTCTTTTTTACTTCAGACAGTGGTTCTCAACCTGGGGTCCCCAGATGTTTTTGGCCTACAACTCTTAGAAATCCCAGCCAGTTTACCAGTTGTTAGGATTTCTGGGAGTTGAAGGCCAAAAACATCTGGGGATCCACAGGTTGAGAACCACGTGAGTCTTTTACATTCCTCTTTGACAAAGTGTTAGTCCAGAGTTCTTCTGGCTCCTAGTAATTTGGTTTACTAATGCAAATTCTATAGGTTTATTTTTCAGGTTGTATTTTGGCATTATAGTCAGCTTAATGTTCTTCTTTAGCTTTACTCTATTTTTTATATTAGTAGTTCATGGTCTATACCACAATCTGTTCCTGGTTTTGTTTTTACAGAGAGAATTAAAGCTCTCATCTCCTGCCTTCAGTTATGTAACCTATTCGATTTTTATATTGTCCATCATATGATGTTGTTGTATACAATCACTTCTTAGTTACTTGAAGATTGTACTTGCAATGAACAAATTTTTGGCCTTGCAAAATTTAGTCAGTCCCTCTCCTGCTTTGTATCTTGATCATCATCTTTGATTCTGCTTTGTTTCCTATTTTTTGTATTCCAATAATCTATGATTAGTAGGCAGTCTTGTTTTGGTGTGTGATAAATTCCTCCTGGACTCCAGCATATAATAATTCAATTTTGTCATTGTCTTCTTGTGTCTCTGTAGTTGGGAAGATAACCTTGGATTATAGTGTTATTGATAGTTCTTCTTGAAATTCTATTGATGTGATTCATTGAGACTTTGCATTATACCCTTTGACTGCTTTTGCTACTTCTCATAGCAGACATTGCCCCATTTCTTCTTTGATTTTCATTTCCTTAATAAAACTCTTAATTTGACTCAAAATGCTCCAGCTCGCTCACCCCAAGTATTAAAATATTTATGTTTTATTTCTTGTTTTACTATGTCTAGCATCTCCTGATTCATGCTTTTCACATTCCATGACATCTTTAATAGGTGTTGTGCAGCTTCAGACCTGTCTTTCACCACGGAGCATGTCAACAGCTGGACATTCTTTGTGCTTGAATCCAGTTCCATCATTAGCCACAGCACTACTCATAGATGTCCTGTGCTGTATCACAGTAGCTTGTTGAGTGCCGTTCAATTTGTGAATCTCGTCTTCTAGCACTATCTCTTGTTTAATTTTTAATTGTCTCATCATTATACAAATAATTAATAATTAATTTCAGAAACATTTTGTGATAACAATGTCAACATAAAATTAAATACAGCTTCTCTTCTCTTTATACCCAAAGCATGTGCAGCTAGTTAACTTGGCCTGAATCATCTAGGGAGGCCCTGCTCTTGGTCCCACCTTCTTTGCAAGCTTGGCTGGTGGGGATGAGAGACAGAGCCTTCTCAGTGGTGGCCCCTCTGCTGTGGAACCCCCTCCCAAGCAATATTAGATCAGCCCACTTCCTCCTATCCTTCAGAAGGAGAGTAAAGACCTGGCTCTGGGAGCAGGCTTCTGAAAACTAATGCAGTGCAATAATTTTAATGTGGAATAATGTGCAATCTACGGAATGACCTTAGACTCTGATCCATGGATGGCGTATTTTTAACATTGGAATGTATTTTATTGTGTTTAGTATGTATTAATTTTAATCCAATTTATTTAAAGTCAATATTGTATGTTTTAAGGCATTATGTAAGTGCCACTTGTAAGCCGCCTTGAGTCCCCTTTGGGGTAGAAAAAGGCGGGATATAAATAAGACAAATAAATAAATAAAACTTTCCCATTGGCATGCACACCTCCTTTCTGCCACTTTCCTCAGCAGCAAGAACTACTACTACAAGAAATGGGAAAAAGGGAGGCAACATTAACTTTATGTGTTTTTCAGTTTCTTCAGTCCATATAATTCCCTTCACATAGGCTCTTACATTTTCTTTTAGATTTAAGACAGGTTGTTACACACTCTACATTGTACTCCCATCTGACTGATTTCTAGAAATGTGATTCAGTCAGATTCCTCCAACCCACCCCCAAAACACCGAATTGAGGTCATGGGGCAATGTAGAGAAAGAGCAGCTCCTTTCATTACAGGCTGTATCTGCTTATGATAATTTTTAATCTTGGGAACAATTTCATTAGAGAGAATAAACCAGCAACTGCAGTTGAGCATTTATCTTCGGTAGAAGGTATTATTTTCTCTTTGGTCTATCAGAAGTGTTAGTGATCAAGCAAAAGACTGCATGACCATGTATGTTTACAGTAAATAGTGATGAGAGTTGAAATCAGGATAGAGAGGCTTGACTTGGCGTAGGTTTTTGCTTGCATTAGGCAGCTGGTTCCCAGGACTTTCACCAATTTCAGTTTTATTGCATTGGTAAGTTAACTTGAAAGAAAAACATCTGACTCTCTTTTCCCAGTGCTTTGTGTGTGCTTTATGCACCTTTAAATAAGAATAAATTAACAGCTCCAAATTACATAATTATTAAGTTTGAGTTTGATATCTTATTTTTTATGTTGCTTCATTTAATGGACATCAATTATTCCCAAATCTTATAGCTTGGATATCTGTGTAATGGGTTTCACAGGAATGGCAGAACACTGACCACATAATGTTTCATATCTATGCAACTCAAGAGACTGGACAGATGGAGATATTAGAATATATAATCTATTTTCTTTCTCTCTAGAGGCTGTGGGTGGCACCTGAGTAATATAATCTGTCCCGGCTGCATTTGTCAAACACCCATTCGTATTATCTAGGATTTTAAACTGGGTGTGCAAAGCAAATGTATCATATTTACTTCATATTTTATTTGCCGACTTTATGTTTCATTTCATAAAATATATTTTAATCTTCAGGAGTGAGCTTTGAGCCCATGTATGCAATGACATTGCAACCCTACAGATTCTTAGTCCATGTTCCCTTGTTATTGGGCTCATGGCAAGCTCTGGTCCAGTGGTGAAGTTTGCTTTAAGCACTTGTAAATTGTAGCTTAATCCATAAAGCTTCTGCACATGAATTGCATTGTATGACATGGTGAGCCACCTAAGTGCACAATGAAGTCCTTGAATGACTCTATTTTGGAGCTATGAATAGTCACCACAATTACAACAACTATGTCTTTAACATTTTAAAACATTTTGCAAAATGTTGAAATTATGTTGCAGTAATCACATACCTCAGATTCATTATGTGTTTCATTCCCAGTAACTGACAACTTACAAGTGTGAACATAGCATCAAATGCAACACTAAATCAGTTTTTCATAATCACTTCACTTAGTACTTGTCAATGCAAGCAATTTTGCATCTAAGTACAAATTCTCATATAGAATGCTATGTCAGAATGATGAGATGCTGAATAGCATGCATGTCCATGTCAGTCAGTCCTCTTCAAAATTGAAAAAAATAAGACTTTTTGTCTCATTCCAGCCCTGTTTACCTGTCCAAACGCATCTCCCTTTACAAACCACTGTGAAGACTAAGATCCTCTGGGGAGCCCCTGATCTTAGTCCCGCTACCGTCACAGGCGCTATTGGCGGGGACAAGAGAGAGGGCCTTCTCAGTGATTGCCCCCCCCCCCCCCCGTTATGGAACTCCCTTCCAGGCAAGATTAGATCACCCCTCCCTCCCTCCCTCCTGCCCTTCAGAAAGATGGTAAAAACCTGGCTGTGAGACCAAGCCTTTGGGACAGTGCAATGAGGCAATAATAGTAAACCCACTCTACCAGGTATGGTGTTTTGAGATGGTTTTGAACAACTGATTTAAAGTAGATGTAACTGTTTTTAGTGTTTGTGTACATTTATAGTTATTTTATGTTCCAGCATGCAGTGCTTGCCGTATATATGCTGTGTTCCACCCTGAGTCCCCGTTGGGGTGAGAAGGGCGGAATATCAATGTTCTAAATAAATAAATAAAATAGTAAGGGTAAAGAGCCCTATAGAATAGATAGATAGAATAGATAGAAAGTTGATCCTAATTGTAATTGTTTATTTGATACTTATATGTATGACATCAAATTGTTCCCTGTTCTAAGGCCGCCTTCAGTCCCCTCCGGGGTGAGAAAGGTGGGATATAAATATGGTAAATAAATAAATCCTAATTTAAAATTCAGTAAATCATAAATATATTTGTGAACAACATATTGTATTCTCCCCATTTGACTAGATCTTTGTGTTCTAGAAATAAATAATTTGGCTAATCGTCCCCTATTACTTTCAACTCAGTTCAAGTATTTGTAGTAATAGCCAGATTGCATTTTCAGCTTGATACAAATCTACACAGATATTTTTTCCTCTTCATACATTTCTCTGTAAAAATAGTTGTGTAACATTGAATGTCCTAGGAATATTTCTTAATATGCCAATCATTATATTTCTGTTGTTTCAGAAAAACAACACATGAGTTGGGTGCAGCTTCAATTACTTATGCAACTTATCGAGGCTCTACAAGAATTAAACAACTGCTTAAAAAGCAAGCAGAATTAGAGCAAGAAAAAGAAGCTACAAGCAATATTTCTAGTCTTGAAAACAAAGAAAATGAGATAGTAAACATTCCAGACTCGGATATGACCATAAGACAAACAGAATCTTTATTGAAGAAGAATTCAAAAGCTGGTACTGAAGGTGTCGAAAAAGATTCACACTCAAGCTCATTTAAGGTGGAAATGGACCCACAAAACATTTCTCAGGACATCTTTGATAGTAGCAAACTAAAGAACAGTGTGTTGTCGACTGAAATGGAAACCATCAACAATTGGACTGAAGATTTAGTTTCTATGAAAACTGTATCTTTTTCAAACACACCAGAAGTTAATGGGAACCTTTTATTGGAGCCAACATTGTTGCCAAAGGAAGGCAGTTATAGCTGCCAGAATACAGATCCTATTAGAATGAGTCTAGAAAATAACAGATTGGCTGAAAAGAGAGGGGAGGTGTTTGGGGAAATACAAATGCAGCACCCATCAAACAATGCTACTATTGTTGGCTTTCAAAAAGAAATGCATTTTTGTACTTCTAACACAGAAACAAAAGAAACAACGCAACTTGAGTTTCCATCTCGTCCCAAAGTAGACCCATTTAATAATGAACAACAATTGGTAGAACATAAATACTGCTGTAATAATTGGACTGAAGACCCATTCACATTAAAATCAACTAACCAGGAATTGTATTTGAGTAGCACAATTGCCAGTGGTAAGGCAACTAGCCAGGCGGTAATTAAAAATGAAGATTTATTCAAGAATGCCGTGGCCGAACAGAATGAACAAAGCCTTCCAAACATTTTACCAAATAATTTAGATACTGCATTCTGTAAAATTAACAGTAACAAAGCCAATACAGTCTCAGTTAGAGCTGATGTATCTACTCTGGTCCAACCCTCAGACACAATTCAAGGTATGGATGTTCTCAGGAAAAGTTCGGAGAGTGAAGAAGATGTTATGTCAGCGGTACCTAGAGGTATACAAAATAGTCCTAGCCCTTCTGCAGTTTCTGAGATTGGAATTGATGGCTTTCCCACAGGGAATTTATGTGTGCCTGTTGTGGAGTCTGAGCATGTTGGAATAACAACGTTGTTGCCTAATGATACAACAATAGGCAATACCAACACTTCTATGTTAGCTATCGGATATGAAAATATGAAGGCTGAAATGAAAGCTACTGCATTAGAAGTAAAAGATACCAGTACTGACAAAGCTGGGTTGATGACAAATGCTTATCTCCAGAGGCTTGAGGATAAAAAAGGCAGCTCCCATCATCTTGTCAAGAAAGATAAGGATGAAACTCTGACTAATGCAACAATTAATTTAGATGTTTCCTCTCCTACCCTTGAATTGGAAAAGACAGCGCTTATAAATAACACAGAATCTGGTTTCATGGTTAACCATATTTCTTCACCTCTTAATAACACAGAAGATATTGAAATTAAGAGCCTAATCATGGCTACAGAAAGCAATATTCCATTAGTGAATCAAACGAGGAATCAAACTGAAGCTCAAATGAATCTTGTTGTTCTTGAAACTAAAGAGATCATCTCAATGCCTCCTTCTAAAGAAATGTGCCTTTCTAAAGACTTTAGTGTTGTCGAACCAGAAAATAATTGTTCTTCATCTGTTTTTCCTTCTCATTCATTACCTGTTTTAGTCAATAAGCCTTTCATTTGTGAAGCGGATAATACCAGTTTAGACACTGTGTCTAAACCTGTGCCTAATTTTGAAGATCAAAGTTTGTTGAAGACCTCACATTCTTTGTGTCATGAAAAAGAAGGCGTTGGTGAGTGTACAAGAGCTCCAGCTATCATTGATTTTGCAGAGATTGAGTATGGCAACATAGATTCTGACCCTACACGTGAAAATACACATGTTATTTCAAAACAAAAAACTTCTGGATCTTTGAGCACACTGCTTGCTGTGGATGGTCGATCTGAGGATACAGATGGTGTTTCTGATTCTTTTCTGGAAACTGACAGCACCCTTAAAACTAAGATTGTCTCAAATTCTTCTGAGGTAGATACTAAGAATAAGATTAGCTCATGTCTTGAAGAAAGGAAGACTGTGACAGATACTGGTTCAGTAGACTCGATTCTGCTAAAAGAGGATCCCTTCCTTATTACCCTTGAAAATATGTGTAACTCTACATCTGCTACATCTACTACATGCCCCAAAGTCACTTCAAAACTTTCTTCTCCGACTTGTGAAACAATAGATGCCATTTCCTTGGATGAAATTGGTTCTCTGCCTAGGAATTCTGAAGATGCTCTGGGCAAGATTTCACCTGAGCATGAATCAGACTCTCTAACCTCTGAATCCATATCTAAAGCAGTCTGCCCACCCCCATTATTAGAACCTATTGCCTATGATATGGAAGCTATAGAACCTGTGGAGATGATATTAGGATTGTCTTTTGCTGCACATCAGAGCAAACAGGTTGAAAAAACACCTTCAGGACAACTAAACCTTCATTGTCTCACTGATGTTTCAGAGCACCCTACTGAAAGCAATGATCAAGCAATTACAAAATCGAGCAGCCTGGATTTTGAGGAACCACGGAAATATGTTGAAACAGGAAAGCAAGTACAAATTAAATCCCACAACTTAACGGTTTTGCTTAAAAAGGCTGATGAAATAGTTGATTCAGTTCTACATTTAGCCATAGAAGAAATAAGATCAAAGCAAACAGTTGGCATCTGCCAGACTCATGACATTAAGGACAATTTATTAGAGGCCAGCCTTCAGAAAGATCAAAACATCATAAAAAAGCTGTCAGAATCAAAAGGAATTCAGTCAAAGAATTCATCATTACAGTCTTTTAATGAGAGTTGTATCAACAAGCTTTCTGGGGTTAAAGAGGAAGGCACACTGAGCATAAATATTCAAGATAAAATGATTGCATTGGATACTACAGATAATCCTGACCTACATAGTTCAATAGCACTAATAGCAAAAGAAATAATTGATGATGTTATTAATGCAGCCAAACAAAAACTAATGTATGATCTGGGAGAGGACCAGATGAGAAAGGCTGTTTCTCAAAATGCAAATCTTGACCTTCAGACTGAAGTTTTGGAAACACGAAGCACTGACACTGAATTAACAGTTAAACGTGTTGAAATAATAGGAGAACCCTTGAATTTAACTCCAGCATACTCCAGTGAAATACACAAGATAATCATTGAGCCAGAAGTAGAAAAATGCTCATCACCTTTGTATGTTAATATGAAAAAAGACAACAAAGAGGTGATAGCAGGAAAAATTGTAACAAAAAATGTGCTTCCATGTCAAAAAAATGGAGATGAATGGTCTGACCCTGCTGCTGCAGTAGAGTTTAGTGATGCGGAAACAGGCCAGAGCAACAATCATAAAGGCACCGCTTGCACTCCACAAATGATAAATGCAGATGACAATACCAATATCTCAACAGCTAAGGGTAAATCTGAGAAGTCTTCACATGTAGTAAATGGAGAGACTGTTATGACTGAAGTGCAAATGACATTATGTCCATTTGAGCCAGAGAATGTGCCACCCTTTAATCCAAATGTTGATACATATACTTGCATGTTTAGCAAATCCAAAGATGAATGTGAACCTTCACTTGAAAGTAATGTTGTAAAAGAGCTGCCTCAATATATTTGTCAAGATGAAAGTGCCATGCTTGTGAGAGAACCAAATCAAAATCACTGTAAGACAAACAATGAAAGGGACCTGGGAGAGATAAACCAGTCTTGCACAATGCTACAGGATAAAACTGTTGAGTGCAGTATGACTGAGGTATCTGTAATGAACAACTCTACAAAGTTTGACCAGAATCCAGATTTTCTCAACAAAGACGGAGCAGTAGTTGGACCTGATCTGAGTATCAGTAATGTGCTCAAAGCGCATTATGTAGATTTTAATGATGACAGAGATGGGGAGATATCCCCAAAGTTGTCCTCTTTTTCTGCCCCTGAAGAATGGGAAGGCAATTCTTCCTTCACTATATTGTATGAAGATGCTCTTCACACAGATGGAGATGAAAGTTATTCCTTTTCTGTAGAACAACCAGAGAAGCACTTCTATGTTCCTAACCTCCCCTTGGACAATAGCCAGCATTTTGTGATGTGTGGAACAGGAAAGAGCATTTTCCCTTTTGAGGAAAATGACCAGTCAAATCAGATGCTAGAGAGCACCAGTTCAGAATCATTTCTGACAGTTGAAGCAAAGCGATTCAGGGTGTACCCATTCTCTCTGTCTCCAATATATGAAGATGACAGTTCCCAAGAGGATTTGCTCTCCACTGACAACTCACCAGGAGATAATCTGAATGAAAAAACAAGAAATAACCAATCCTTATCTGTCTTGTCACTTCTGCAGTCAGTGTCTGAACGGTTACAATTTAGTGACCAATGTCAGGAGGATGAAGAAGAAGCCTGTATTTCCAGTCACTGGGCAGACCATTCAACCAGTATAGTCCCTGAAGACATTTATGAGAAGGCTTTGCTTTCTAAGCACTCACGTTTTCTTTCTAAGGAAACATTTAGCACAAAAGAAGCCTTGTCTTTCAGTCCATCATGTTCAGCTCAGCTTTTGCAAGACTTTGATCATGGTGTGAAGTCATCTTCTAAGAGTATATACTATGAATCCTTGCAAAGTACAAGCAGTTATGAAGGGGAGAAAGGAACCCAAATTGGAAGCATTTTACTGTCTAGGGATCAGCAGCCTGAAAATAGTGACTTTAAAAAACTGGCATGTTTTCAAGCGGTAAGGTGATTTTCATTAACCTTATAAGCATTAATGAACCCTTTGTATCTCTTTAATTTCATTTATATTTATGCAATTAATATGTGTTATATTGAGACTTATTTAAGATATTTGACATGTTTAGCCAGCTGTAACATAGACATTGTTAAGGATATATTAGCTCTATGACCAAATTGATGTATTGTGGATGTAGGAAGATTTTTGGCCTGAACGCCTTAGAGCAATAGATTGACTGTATCAGAAGAACATTGTTATAAGGAAAAAAATGTGATTAAGCTATGGCACTTCTTATTTTCTTACAGTTTATCCTGTGTTCAAGCAACTATAATGAAATGGAGATGTATTTCACTTAGAAGAAATGCAACAGGAAGATTTTGCTTTCCTACTTCCTTTTTCTCCCAGTAGAATGTGGCATTTTGGAGAAAATTTCAAATATGTTTCAGAAGGGTGTGAATAATCTCAATGCAAGGGTGTCCAAATATTTTAAGCCAAAGGCCGGTTCACAGTCTCTCAGCCTGTTGGGGGGTGCCAGACTATAGTCTGTTCCTTTGCACATTGCATATGTCTTATTTGCAGTGCAACCCCCCGCCCCCAAACATGAAAGAACAATACAACATATAAAACGAAGAATAATTTTAACCAACATAAATGTACCAGTCTTTCAATTGGAAGTGTGGGCCTGCTTTCGGCTGATGAGGAAATCAAGTTAATTAGGATTGTTGTTGTATGCCTTCAAGTCATTTCACACAGTGGCATATGCTACCTCAGAGTCTGGTGGAGTCTTCTTCTCTGGAGGTTTTTCAGCAGAGGTGCCATGGCCATCTGTCAAGAGGGCTTTGATTGTGGTGGAGGGGTTATAGTTGTCTCCTGGCTCTCCCTTTTCTTCCCAAGAGGCTGCCATCTGTCTTTCTCTCCTCTGAGGAGCTCGCCTTTTCTGGGGCCCTAAACCCAGAAGATGGAACCAATGAATGAAGAGAGGAAGGAAATAAAAAATGGGAGAGAGGGGTGGAAGAAGCAAGTGAGGGAGACCTGAAGAGAGAGAGCTGGTGGAAATTTGAACAGGGGCCACATTTGGGCCCTGGGCCGGATTTTGGACATGCCTTCCGTAATGTATCACAATATCCTTGCTAAAAAGAGAAAGGGGCATTTATACCTGGCAGGTTCAATACTGCCAGGTGTTTCTTACAATCCTGTTTTTGCATTTGGACCTTTGTCCACATTCCCACTTATTGTTCTCCTTAAACAATGAAGTACCTTGCATTTTTTGTTGACTGGTATGACTGTTTTCTATTTCTATGAACAGCCACACAGATCCTATTGAAAGGAGCCATAAAGTTGATATTTTATTACGGTTGCCTTAAAATGCCTTTATGACCAATATTAATAAGGTCTGTTGAGTTCATTCTTTCAAAGGGTGCAACGTTTGTCTTTGAATAAAACTTCCAGTTCAGTTTTTTACTAAATGAGTATATCAATCCATGCCTATTTTATTATTCAGTACTATTCTTCTCCTTTAGTATTGAATTATAAAATCTAAAAGAGGTTAAAATGTGAAAAGATTATAAATATTTAATGTCTTGTTCCACTGTGAATTTATTCCCAGTCAAAGGGAACTAGATCCAAAGTATTTTCAGAATTCAGCTTGCAGAATATCCCTCCCATTGCATACACGACAAGAGAAATGTAAAAAATATCTATAGGCCTATTTTTTCCCACCCAAATGGCTGTTTTATAGTGTTTGGAGAAAACACTCCCTCCTAACATTTCAAAAGAGAGTCAAAACCTGGCTGTTTGAGCAGGCATTTGCAGATGCAATGTAACAGACTAATTGAGATCCGATTGGACTATGCAACAGAAAAATGATTTTAGTGATGAGACGCTGAAGACTTGTGTTTTATGGCTTTTATTGTTGTATTGCTTTTATATGGTTTATATTATATGTTATGTTGTTTGGGGGCATTGACTGCCGACTGTAAACCGCCTCGAGTCGCCTTCGGGCTGGGAGGAGTGGTATATAAATATGGTAAATAAATATTATAAAGTATCTCTGTAGTTTATGATAATATTGAAATAACTATTTCCTCTTCATTATAATTTCAGTGTCCTGTTGACAGAGAAAGACTCAAATGCAACCCAAGACCAGGAAAAGTGAGTGAGTGTATACGTGAATATGAAATAGTCACTCTTTTTCCATAAACATTGGCATAAAGTAAAAAGTGTCTCAGTAAAACTAATGTGAAATTGAGTCTATATTCTCTGCTGCAAATTGGGACCAATCTGGAGCATTATGTTCTGGATTGGCCCTGGAGGAACTATAATACACTTGCAGCTGAACCCACTGCGAATGCCTGGCCCTTTATGAATCAGTGATATCCTAAAGGGTTACCTACACAACCATCGGGGAGGGGAGGGGGGTAGATCGACCAGCATCTTCTCACTGGTTATGTGGATACCCCATTCCGACATCAGAGATGCAACCCCAGTGGTTTGCACAGAACTTCGTGGTTGGCAGGGAGCAGCCATGGTGACATGGATGACCCATCTTCTTCCCCTATGCCAATCAAAGCAGGAAAATGATAGTTGTGTGATGTCCATCTGCAGTGGTTCCCAACCTTTGGTCTTCCAGGTGTTTTGGATTTCAACTCCCAAACATCCCAGCCAATTTACCAGCTGTTAGGAATTGTGGGAGCTGAAGTCCAAAACACCTGGAGGACCAAAGGTTGGGAACCCCTGGAGAGGGCCAAATTGGACCTGATACAGCTGTCCAGACTGCTGCAGAGTTGCAGGATACTGTAGCCTTTCCAACAAATTCTGGGGTATCCCCCAGCTTTGCTAAAGCAGGTCAAAGTCGGATTAAGGCAAGAAAGCTTGGGATAGTCACCAGAAATCCCTGTATACCAGAGAGACAGACACTTTTCTTGTTCATGTAGACTTGCCCTGGGATATAATCAGCCAGAAGAAGCAACTAATAGAGATGGTTATGTATTTAAGGGATAAATTAATGCCAATGCACATTGCTTTTGTTCTGTTCAAACCAGTGATGATACATTGCATAAACGATATGATCCTTTTGTTTTGGGGCCGAAACCATGTCTACTTGCATGTGTATATGTGCCTTCAAGTTTCCTGTTGACCCATGGTGACCTCATGAATTTTAGAGGATTTTCTTAAGCAAGGAATATTCCAAGGTGGTTTTGCTAATTCCTTCCTCTGAAAAGTAAGCCCCTTCCACACAGCTGAATAAAATCCCACATTATCTGCTTTGAACTGGAATCTATGGCAGTGTGGACTCAGATAACCCAGTTTAAAGCAGATATTGTGGGATTTTCTGCCTTGATATTCTGGGTTATATGGCTGTGTGGGAGGGCCCATGGCCTCCAACACCAGGAATGCATGTCTTATCTCTCATCAAGCACTAACTAGAGCATGCCCTGCTTAATTAGGAGTAAACTCCATAGTGTAAACATGTATAAATGCTCAAAGAATTTTAAATATTTTATTAAACTGGAGACATATGTGAGAAACACAATTCTGATTCAAAATACGGTATAGGCACAGAATATTTGCATAAAGCACTACATGGTTTGGTTTTTTTTCCCTACAGATGATTATTTGTGATGTTCATGGGAAGACAAATAAATATGAAATCTACCATGATGTGATAGATGTTACAGACTGGGTGTTCTCAAAAGAAGTACTGATCAGAGTCATAAGAGGATGGTAAGAAATACATAACAGTGAATATTTCTATATTATTTATATTCATCAATATTTAAATTGTGTTATTTGGAGTATTTGACATGTGGCAAAGTAATGACCAGTATTGTTTTACATTTCATATGTTAAGTTAGGCAACGGACTTGGGGAAATCCATCATGTTAAATATCTGAACATATTTGGGAGTAAGTTGTTTATAGAGTTAACATTTAGGAAAAGGTGTATAACCAGATAGTTTATGACGCAAACCAAATAATACATTGAATAACAAATTCTGTCAATATTAGATGCCAATTTTATTATGTATGCTAAATTACTACTAGACCAGTAAAAACTGCATCAAAAAAGATTGCCTTTAAGAGATTAACATAGAATGCTCTATTTTTAGAAAACAAACAAACTGGTACTTCTGCAAATGAGAGAAACACTATATTAGCAGGAATGGTTTCCTTATATTAATTTAAATCAGGCATGGGCAAATGTTGGCCTTCCAGGTGTTTTGGACTTCAACTCCCACAATTCATAACATCTGGAGGGCTGAAGTTTGCTCATGTCTGATCTAAATGAATTAATGGTCTGACTCATTGTAAGGCAGCTTGCTATGTTAGTAAACATTTTATGCTACACCATATTGCAGAGCTTTTCCAACTCTGTGTCATGACACGTTAGTGTGTCTACTGCAGTGTATAGGTATGTCATGCAAACATAATAAGAAGTCTCTAAGTCTATGTGAAATCAGCAATACCAACTTGCATACATTTTTACACAGCAAAGCTACCAATTATACCTTATTGCATTAGTATATTCCACCTACAAAAATCTTGGAAATGTATATTATTGCCTTACAAATTCTATAAGTTAGTAAGGTAAAGGTTTTTCCCCGACATTAAGTCCAGTCATGTCCAACTCTGGGGCGTGGTGCTCATCTCGATTTCTAAGCCAAAGAGCTGGCATTGTCCATAGACACCTCCAAGGTCATGTGGCTGGCATGACTGCATGGAGCACTGTTACCTTCCCGCCAAAGCGGTACCTATTGATCTACTCAAATTTGCATGTTTTCAAACTGCTAGGTTGGCAGAAGCTGGGGCTGACAGCGGAAGCTCACACGCTCCCCGGATTCAAACCTGTGACCTTTCAGTCAACAAGTTTAGCACTCAGCGGTTTAACCCCCTGTGCCACCTGGGCTCCTTGTTCTATAAGTTATGCTCCCCATATATTTCAGTATTACAATTTATGTATGTGTCCATATCTCCTATAAGGGGTTGGTTTAACCTCTGGTTTGCTAGTAAAACTGAATTACTGTGTTGTGAAATGATCTATGTTTAAAAGGTTGTCACTAATCTGAAATGTTTGGAAAGATCTGCCTTATTGTCTAGTGACTGAATCCTATTATAAGTTACTTCTGCACTAAAATGGAAATTAAATTTAAGATCATCTTAACCTGTTGATCTTTACATAACACTATTGCACTGATATCTTTAACTAGAAGAATTAAAAAATTGTGCACAAGGCAAAAACGACAAAAAAGTTGTTTTAATCAATATTGCCAGTCTTACAGAAGAAAGAAGGTTTCTTGAATTTCTAGGATCTGATGTGTGAAACACCTCTTTATCAGTAACCTTTCTAATTCTGGTTCTATACTGGCTATTTCTTTAATAGCATAAATGTTTTTTTTTATTGATACAGCTGGGTCTTGTGTGAAAAACCAGGATTCCAAGGTCAGAAATATTTCCTGGAAGAAGGAGAACAGAAGTTGAATGATATCTTGAATCAGCAAACTGAGAAACATAAAGAAAGCTTTACAATTGGCTCCATCAGACAAATCTTGAAGGTGTGCTTTTGGCTAAATTGTGAGATTTACGGGAAGGTAACGGCATGGAGCACCGTTACCTATTGATCTACTCACATTTGCATGTTTTAAAAATGCTAGGTTGGCAGAAGCTGGGGCTAACAGCAGGAGCTCCCCCTGCTCCCCGGATTCGAACCTGTGACCTTTCAGTCAACAAGTTCAGCAGTTCAGCAGTTTAACCCACTGTGCCACCAGGGGCTTCTGATTGAGTATCAATAGTTATATATAAAATGGGAGAAATGTAAAAGAATGTTGTTTAAAAGATAAACATTAAAAAAAGTTTGGGACCCCAGACTTTAATTTGAATGAGCTTTCCTTGCAACGATTTGTTCTCTGTAGTTTATGAACTTAAATTATAAATTAAATGTTGGATTCTAAAGAAGGGTAGTTCTGTTGGAAAACTTTTAATTAGTGATATGTTGCCTCTCCAATTGGTTCTCCATCATTCCCAAAAGATACAATTGCAAACTCTTTTGAATCGGTATGCCTTCTGACATCTTATTATTTGAATCCAATATTTCTGAGCTCTGTTATGATAATACAGTTTAAAATTTAGCAAACCCAGTAAATGTTACTATTTCAGGACACCGGTTGCTGTTTAATTGTTGTTTTTATATTGTTATGTGGTTGCTTTATGTTGTTTTATGATGCTTTTATGAATTTTAATGTGTTATATTTTAACTATGTTATGTCCAAAAGATATAACTAGTTTTTACCATCTCTGCAAGTCTTGTTTAATTTCATTCCCCATATTTAAGTAATTGTCATAAAACAGCCTTGACTAAAAGCTTTAGTGTTCAGTTACAGGAATGTATGGGAATTTTCAGTTTTAAAAAATCACGTGGATTTATTGCCTTCTGTGATAAAGAAATATATGTATCTGATTGTTTGCTGCAAACCTTAGGCTTTAGTGATTTTACTCAAAATAATGCTGGGCTAAGTCTATTCTGACATCTCTGAAGATGCAATTAATTCTTAAAGTGTGGATTTGATTCTCAGCATATCTATCCAAAAGAAGCCTCAGATTCCCATCTGAATTTCATTTAGCTAGAGTGAGTTGACAGTAACATCCATTACTCAGTACTTCATGCAGTGTTGTCTAAAAGCAATTTAAATGATTTGGCAATCTACTTCTATTTATCTACCAGTTTCTTTATAATAGATTGAGGTTTCTCATTTGACAACATTAGCTTGGACCAAACTGCTTGGAGAGGGAGGTTGAAAACATCAAGCAAACTTATTTGAAACTTTTCTTTACGCCAGCATGTTCATTGCAAATAAAAGGATAACCACAGAAACTGAATTTGTAAAATTGTATAAAAAACAACTTGTTACAGATGCAAAGGAGTCTTTTTTTACCTTTTGGTGAGCTATTTGTGTTAATCTTGAGGAAAACAACATTCTTTTCAGAAGCATATGCAGTAAGGAATACTTAGGATTTATGGTGCTTCAATCGGTTTGGCATATTTTTAAGGAAACCAATGCAAAACGATATTTTTAGGCATATTTCACTCAGATTCTAACCACGTGTAAATCTTCTATATTTGTTTCTGTGAATATAGATGTTTTAAAAAAGAAACCCAACCTATATTACTTATGTATTTTCTCTCTAGTTTGTGAAGTATATGGATTGTAATACCTTTTCATGCTGTCCTGCTGCTTCTACAGTAGAGTCTCGCTTATCCAACCTTCGCTCATCCAACGTTCTGTATTATCCAACGCAGTCTGCCTCCCACCCAGATCCACAGCTGTTTCAATACATTGTAATGTTTTGATGCTAAATTCGTGAATACAATCATTACTACATAACGTTACCATGTATTGAACTGCTTTTTCTGTCGATTTGTTGTAAAACATGATGTTTTGGAGTTTAATTTGTAAAATCATAATGCAATTTGATGTTTAATAGGCTTTTCCTTAATCCCTCCTTATAATCCAACATTTTCGCTTATCCAATATTCTGCCGGCCTGTTTATGTTGGATAAGCGAGACTCTACTGTATGTAATTTTCTTGTCAAAATTTATAATTTTGAATTGATATTGATAGTACTTTGTCTTAGTTTTAACAACTGTTTTAGTGTTTTATATGATGTAGTTAGTCATCTAGAACCTTCAACAGAGCATATTTGGTTGCGAGCAAATAAATAATGTGTAAAATTGAAGAGCTCTAGCAATTTGGATTGTGCTTAACTGTCTTTCTATCTTGTAGAATTGCAGCGTGCCTGAGATTCAGCTTTACTCAGAAGGCCGCACAGAGTATTTTCCTATCTCTATTCAGAGTTCAATTGCTGATGTAGAAGAACTGGAAGTCAAAAATCCTACTCTTTCTGTAAAAGCAGGAGTGTGAGTACATGGTTTATTTTATGGCTATCACTTTGTGAGCTCTTGAGTGATGTAGCAAGTTAAGTCCACCTGTTTATGAAGCTAAAAGTATAAGTTGTCACTATGGATACATTAAATGTTTTCATAGCAATTGATGTGCTCCACCTGGCTAGCCACTTCTGCAGCTAGAATGCTCATATAGATAGCCTTGTGGGGTTAGGTCCAACAACCATGTTTATGAATGAGACTACTTATGCATTAGCTCTATTAATTAGCTATTTTTCCCCACTCTAATAGATGGTTTGCCTATTCAGATGTCAATTACAAAGGAGAAGTGATGGTTTTGGAAGAAAATAACTGTCCGTGTGAAATTTCAACAGCTGACATAAAATCTCTTTATCCTTTGAAAATGGTAAGGAAGTAATAGGTTTCCACTCACTTGTACACCAGACCATTTTCTCTTTCTGGCATTTTGCATCTAGAACTGAACCTGTTCAATGCCTCAAGAGATAAGAGTTTATTCAAAGCATCAGTCTGCCTTATTTCACCATTGTTTGACTCCTGAAATAATAATGGACTAATATTTTGGTTGAGAAACCATTTATTTTAGAGCAAGCATTCAGTGACTTGAATTAATGGAGAATGAAGTTAAAGTTGCCTGGTCATCTCAAAAAGATTAGAACTGCTTGAAGATGTTTGCAAAATGTCAATTCAGATGCACAGTTAAAAGAGGAAAATATTAATAATTTGAGTATGAGACAGCTTCTCAAAAATGCTTGGTTGAGAGGTGAATTTCCAATCATACTGTAATTGTCACATCTTACTATAGGGCTCACTTATTCCATTCAATCTGATGTCGTCCCATTCAATACAAGCAATTGGAATGCCAGAAATCAAAACACATGGTGCTTCCATCTTGTCTGCTTTAGTTTATTTGCCCATATTCACCCTCCTCTAAACTACTGTTTCTTAAACTGTGTGTCCTGGCCCCAAATGTGGTCAATGTTGATGTCAAGAAAAAAATGGCAACAGTAAACGTTTTCTTCATGCTTTTTTAGACATTTAAACAAATCTGTTGTACAGTGTTTATAATGAACTCTGCAGAAGATTCTTCATCTGTACTCCATAGAAAGGAAAAATGGCCTATTAGAAACCTCACAAATGATTACTTGTTATCAGTAAATGCTGGATTTTTATACCTGTGGTCACATAACAAATTTGGGCAGAAAAAGGTTGTGAGTGGAAAAAGTTTAAGAGGGCCTCCTGTAGACAACAATCCAATACCTGAATTATATCTGATTCAAATTGTTTGAGTAGGTAGAGCTGAGTGTTATCTAGATATGGATGTCACATCACTTTGGAATACCTGATGACAAGTGGATATTAAATAGCATGGTGAATAAATGACAGAGTTCCACAGACTAGACCACTTCTTAAGGCTTCAAGCAGCAATCTCTTGTGGTCACCATCTAGAAACAGCCCAGATTTTGGTGTGTGTGTGTGTACATATGTGTGTGTGTGTACGTACAAATGTCAGAACTGCTTCTGTAAATCTTCCAGGGTGGTTTCTATCTGTATATGTAGAATAAAAAAGCAAGCATTCATTCAAGCATCGCATACTCTATAACTTGATGCTTTGTTTTGCGTTTCAGGTTAGCCTAAAGGTGCAGATGCCTCTGAATGTTCAGGCAAGTGTGGACATGTTAATAGTACATGAATGTGCTAGTGAGATGCATATTTCTCTGTTCTTTACTCCTTGTATTTATTTTAGAAATTGTGAACAATGATAACATATTGTAGAGAGTGATCTGCCTAGAGCAGTCTTACTTTCTTATCTTCATTTCTTCCTTTAAAACACTCTTCTTAGATCTCCAGGAAAGCATTCCCTAGAATGAACAAAAGATATGTAGGGCACAAAGAATGCCTCTTATCTTTATTGTGTTGTTCCTGTCTTAAAACCATAGTGTTGCTTCATGCCAGGTCATTGATTGGTAATACTGATGCCATTCAGGACTTGATCCTGGATGAATATGCCAACTTAGTATATGCTGTACTCCAGGATTCTCTGTCTAGCAGCAGGACATATTTGGGCTGTGTGAATAGGGAGTCACAGCAGTCTGTTGGGATAATGTCACCTGACCAGATATTTATATATTTTATTAATGGTTCTGTATAATTTTATATATATATAATTTTTAATATGTTAGCTTTCTGTCAGGGGTGATTTGAATGTGATTTTCCTGCTTCTTGGCATGGGGTTGGACTGGATAGCCCACAAAGTCTCTTCCAACTCTATATTTCTATGATTCTATGGTTCTTGAGTCACATTATTGGGAGAAAGGTTGAGTGTGAATCAAAAATAAATAAATGAGATTAATTAATAATGCCTGATCCAGAGTTGTCAATCTATAAAGAAAAGCTGCAAAATCTAGCAAAAGCTATCAATAAAGAAATGATTTGCATTGTTTCTGTCTATCTTATTTTCTACACTGTTCTGGGAATTTTTTTCCCAAGCTATAGAAATAGAACAAAATACTAAGTATGCCATTGGATTCCCTTGGCTAGAGATGGGTTTAACCACTAGATGCTTTGCTTGGATTAATTTATGTATTACAGCCACTGTGTTTTAGTAATAGTAGAGGATAAACCCCATCAAAGCTGCATCAAATTATTAAAATAGAGGAAACAAAACATATGCTGCAGTATTTACAATGTTTACAGTGTTTAAAATCAGAGTTTACAATGTTATAAATACAGTTGGTGCTTCATCTTCCCATGTTCTGTATTTTCCATAGCTTGAAAATGCTCAAGAAATAAATTTAAAAAGCAAATCTTGATTTTGCTGTTTTATGTAAGGGGCGCCATTTTACTATTCCATAGTACATAATGGGACTTGAGCACCCACAGATTCTAGAATCTCGGAGAAGTCCTGAAACCAAACCACACTGGATAATGATTATAGACATATATTTAAAGGAACATTTTTCCCACACTCTGCAGATAATACTATATGAGAGACCACACTTTGGAGGATGGTGTAAAGAGCTTTCAGAAAATATTGATTGTGTTCCAATACTCTTTGAAAATGCGGGTGACTTCCAGGGAATCGGATCAATACGTGTCATTGGCGGAATGTAAGTACAATTTTATTTCTATTTTCAACTTTATTCCAAAAGTATTCCTGGACCTACTGTGGAACCAGAAGTTCAAATCTGTTTGACATTTAAGAACATGGGAAGTCCTCATTTACCTGCCACAAGAGACTTAGCTGTCCTATCACCTGAAATACCTTATACTATATAAACAAAAATGAATTTTCCACTGAAACTTATTTCCATGCACATGCTCTTTAAATGAAAGGGTCTGCTTCAACAATATTTGGGGTTATTAAACTTTCAAAGTGACATATGTAAGATGCAACTTTTAAATCAACAGATTGCAAAAAAATATTAAAAAGAAAATGTTGGTAGCAGAGTATAAATTAGTGCCTCAATAAACAAAAGGATTCTACGAGGGTTGAATGAAAAGTAATGCCTCCACCTTTGTAACTCTTCAACAGATGGCAGTACTGGTATGCAACAGGTACTGGCTTGTTCAGTAAACTCTCCTCTGGAGTTCCATTTTGGTGGGAAGCCTTAGCATTGAACGGTTCTGTTGTTAATGTGTGAAGTATGGAACCCTGCGCAGACGTGCAGCCATTGAATTCTTGTCAGCAGAAGGTATCACCCCAAAGGGGATTCATCAGAGTATGCAAGCTGTTTATGGTGATTGTGTTGATGTGAGTACTATGCATCGTTGGGTGAGAAAGTTTAAAGATGTTGAAGTGGGAACATCTGACTTACATGACAAACAAAGAGTTGGATGTCCTGTGACAGCAACCACTGAGTTTCACAAGCAAAAGGTTGACAGATTGATTCAGGACGATAGTCATATCACTCAGAGAAATTTCAAGCATAATTGGCATTTCACATTATTGCTTTACTTGGCTATCGGAAGATCTGTACACAATGGGTACAGGATGCAGATGCCTGAAATGAAAGTGCACAGACTTGAAACTTCAGAGACTGGATATCACCACCCTACGACATCTTCCATACACTCCAGATTTAGCGCCGTCTGACTTCCATCTGTTCCCGATAATGAAAGAAGATCTGCAGGGACATCATTATGCTTCTGATAATGTTGAGATGTTGAGAGAAGATGTTGAGAGAACTGTGAGACGCTGGTTGTGGAAACAGAGTATTGACTTCTTTTGTGATGGCTTCAGAAAACTTGTTCATTGTTGGCAGAAATGTATCCAATTGTCTGGTGATTATGTGGAAAAATGAATAGTGGTAGTTAAAGAGCACATTCTAAGGATTATGTCTGCATTTGATTTATTAAAATATTTCTATTAAAACCCTAGTAACGAAGGTGGAGGCATTACTTTTCATTCAACTCTCATCTTAAGTACAATTTTCTGTGCATCTCCTGTTGATATCCCTGGGCATAGTGTTCCAGGCCAAACCTTTTCCTAGTTAATCATTCTTCTTAGCTCTAAGTGCAGCAAGAAAAAGAGCACTTCAGAAGAGAGTCTTAGGATCCATTTGTAGAAGTGGCCAGAAGTTGCTCTTGTGCATCCTCAAGACCTTTGTCCTGTATTAGAAAAACTCAGGGAATGTTCTGGAATGTTACTGATCCAAGTTAACCAACAGCGACACAGTGAAAGTATATCACCATCAACTACTTTGATAAAAGGCAGGCTAATATTAGTAAGTAAATGTCTACTTTGTCATTGATTCTTTCATAGCTTGTCAAAGCAGATCTTCAAAACATATTGGAATATGGTATAGTAAGATAGAAGGTCCTTAATGACAATTAGTGTTTTGTGTTTATAATAATTGCTAAGGACATTCATAATTTCTCCTCATTTGTTTTGACACCTACAGATGGGTTGCTTATGAAAAGGAACGATATAAAGGACAGCAATACTTGTTAGAGGAAGGAGAATATGAAGACTGGCCATCATGGGGTGGGATGAATAGCACCCTTCTCTCTTTTCGATTTTTGCAAGCTGTAAGTACTTTTCCTCCTCTTAATTTTTTCCATTTCCATAAATTAAACATATGTGCATCCTTCCACATTTGCCATGGTTATTTATTTGTTTATTTACTGTATTTATATCCTGCTCTTCTCACCCCGAAGGGGACTCAGGGTGGCCTTACAATCAGCTGCAATCCAATGCCATATCAACAGACAATAAAAATAAACACAGGACTTAGGAGCACAAGAGTCCATCGAAAGTGGAAATAATACAATTTTTAGAACCCTGTGTTTACTACCTGAGAGAACACATCTCTAGGAATCTGTCGGTCCTCCAGCACGACACTAGGCTCTACTTCCATCACAAGATGACCATAGAATGGAGGACCTAGAGATTCCTAGAGAGGAGTTCTGTCTTGGTAATCCACTGTAATTCAATAATCAACTTCCAACAGACCATAGACTTACACAGGGGAACCTAGAAATTTCTAGAGAGAAGTTTTTAATCAAATCTGCAAATAATTAAATCTGTAAATAAAAAAAAACCCAAGCCCGTAAATGTGGATGAATAAATACGTTGAAATATTACTATTTCTAGTTTTAACAATCCAGGAGTGGGTGAGCTCCTGCTGTTAGCCCCAGCTTCTGCCAACCCAGTAGTTCGAAAACATGAAAATGTGAGTAGATCAGTAGGTACCACTTCTGCGGGAAGGTAACAGTGCTCCATACAGTCGTGACATCCACATGACCTTGGAGGTGTCTGTGGACAACGCCGGCTCTTCGACTTAGAAATGGAGATGAGCACTATCCCCCAGAGTCAGACTTAATGTCAAGGGGAAACCTTTACCTTTATTTTACTACTTTAAGTGGGGAGGTAATAAGAACATGACGACAATTCAATGGGGAGGTTGTCTACGGACAATGAAAAGCTCCTTGGCATGGAAAGAAGGAGCAATAGCACCTCCCCATGGCCAGAGTCGAGCACAACCTCCAGATGTCAGAGATGGGAAAAGATGGGAAAAACCTATACCTCTGTTTTATGAATTATCAATCCTTGTCAATTGTATAACGGCATTGAATATTTGCCGTATAGGTGTTCTGTAATCTGCCCTGATTCCCCTCAGGGCGATAGAGTGGAATATAAATAAAGTTTATAATAATATTTTTTTATTATTATTATTATTATTAGCCTTCAAAGGCATTTTATAAATGTTTAAAATAAGCTGAGGTTTTTTTAATACTTTAGTGTGCATGTTTGTCTTTATTTGGACATGTACCTGGATTTACATCCAATGTGAATGACATTTATAGCAATGCACAATTGACAGAGGCTGGAAGGCTACCTGTCAGGGGTGCTGTGAATGCAATTTTCCTGTTTCTTGGCAGGGGGTTGGACTGGATGGCCCATGAAGTCTCTTCCAACTCTATAATTCTATGACATGCTATTGCTATAAGTTATATCTGCATCAAATAAAGATCTCAAATCATGTCCAAATATAGACAGAAATGCACATTAAAATGTTTAAATTTTTAATATTCATTCAGACTGGCATGCACATAGTTTCAGTTGTGGAAGCTTAATTCTGTATATACCTCCTGTCTCTAGATCAGATTGCAGGACTTCTTCATCTTTCTGTGGAAAGGAAAGGGTTCTGAAACTTAAAAGTAGAAAGGTGTGAGTGAGTTGTCAGCAGAAATGAAAGTTCTTTCTCTAGAAATGAATTTCTGAGTGTCCCAGATGCAGTGTCAGCAACCATCCCAGGAAAAAGAGCCTAATACTCGGCATATCCCTAAGAGAAAACAGTTGTTTGTGCTGTGCATGGCTTTTTTGAGAAGCAGTTTGACATTCCAATTTTTCTTGCAAGCATGAAAGGATATGAGTTCAAGGGTTAAACCTGACCTACAGCAGATTTCTGAAACAACACACCTGTGTTTCATGGCTGTTCTGTATGATAAAATAAGGCTGTAATCCCACCATTACTCATTTGTTCTTATATCCATAACATCAAGCAAATAGGTAGCTTTGGAAATGGACCCTCAATCTTTCCAATTTTTTTTAACTAATTACAGTCCTAATATTGTGACTGTTGAGTTCACAGAAAGGAAGAGGAACGCCACCTGAAAATAAATTGTCTCTGCAAAATAATTGTAGACTCTTACTTTTCAAAACATACCTTTCAGATATATAATTGAGATCTTCTAGCCAGCGAATGGGCTTTTGAATAAAGCTGCTGTTTAAAAAAATCAAGGATGTGTACTTAGTAGATGGAAACAGCACTGTGAAGGAATAATAATAATAGTAATAGTAATAGACTTTATTTATATTCCGCCCTTCTCCCCTAGGGGACTCAAAGTGAATTCCAGCATTTACATACATAGGCAAACTTTAAATGCCTTTACAATCATATACAATGAGAAACAAAGACACAAAGGCAGAAGCTTCTCCTTTCATTTCCAGCTTCTGGAAGTGGTGCTCATATCTGGCTCTGGGGAGGTGCTTATTTCCATTTTCAAGTCGAGGAGTTTGCATTGTCACCTCCTAGTTGTGTGGTCGACAAGATTGCTTGGAACATCTCTTTTGCCTTTTCCCATCAAAGTACCTAATTATCTATTCTCATTTGCATGTTTTCGAACATGCAAGTGTGAATAGGTTGGCAAGTACTGGAGCTGACAGACAGGAGCTCACCCTGTCTCATGGATTTGAACTGCCAACCTTCTGGTCAGCGGTTTGGCCAACCTTCAGGTTATCAGTTCAGCAGCACAAGAATTTAACCCATTGTGCCACTGCAGCTCCTCCATTATGCAGCTATGGTTTTTATTTTTATTTATTCAATAATTTATATACCTGTCATTGCCCACGTGTCAGAGGGACCCTTGCCCCCCTGCTTTCATCCTTTCTTTCTCTATCCCTCTCCCCATACCTTTCCGCCTTTCTTTTATTTTTCCTTCCCTCCCTTCTCCAGCTCTTAGAGGGCCTACCTCAAAATGTCTCTATAGCAACATAGCTCTCTTTGTAGCTCTTTCCTTCCTTCCTCCCTTCCCCTCATATACATATCACCTTCTTTCCCAGTGACATCACAGAGGACCACTTCACGTAGCAACAGCCTTTGTGGTACAAACAGACAGACATACTTTGACTTTTATAGAGAGATATTTAATGAATGTTTATACATACCACTTCTCTCCTAAGATGGAATTAAGGCAGCTTCCAATGATTTCTCAGTATCATGCTGAAACATTAATTTACAGAAGTTTAAAAAAGAATTAAATAACAATATTTTAAAACAAAATTATTTTTTTAAAAAGGTAAACACTTAAAATACATTTAAGACGTAATTTTTAATAAAGACTTTTTGAAAATGACACACCAGTTTGTACACAATTGAAATTCAAAATGCATCACTTGTTTGCTCTGATGAGGGAGTGGGTTAGCTTTCAACAAATGTAGAGGTTATTGTATGTCAAAGGCTTTCATGGTCAGAATCACAGTTTTCCGGGCTGTATGGCCATGTTCCAGAAGCATTCTCTCCTGAAGTTTCACCTGCATGTCTGGCAGGCATCCTCAGAGGTTGTGAGGTAGGCATCCTCAGAGGATCCACAACCTCTGAGGGTGCCTGCTATAGATGCAGGCGAAACGTTGAGAAGGAATGCTTCTGGAACATCGCCATACAGCCTGGAAAACTCACAACCCAGTAGAGGTAATTGTTATAATAAACAGAACAATGTGTAAATGGAACTAGCATAAGAAACTTTGAATATTAGTACATTATATACCCCTATGTATTGTATGTATGTATTTATATATTCCACGTTGTGGGCAATTTTGATTCATTTTGCCCTTCACCAGACTATTTTTCATCCATAGAGGCCATATTGACCAACATGAAGTAATCTAGAATTTCCAGCTGGAAAACAGCTCAGACAAGGCCAAAACTGTGGTAACATGCCTGCCACACCTTCTGGGGAAGATTTTCCATTAAAAAATGGTTGGGGTTAGCTCTCTAAAGGAGAAAAGAAAGCAATAAAACTCTCACCTTTCAACAGTTTACCACTCTTGTCATTCAAGCATTGGTTCTGACGTAATCAGGAACCTGCTGCAACTATTCACCCTTATTCCAATCTCTATTTAGCACTTGAAGAGGTTCTGCATGATTGAGTAGCAGTGCTGTATTGTATATAAAAGGAAGGAATGTGTATTGGCTTCCTAATTTTCATTTCTGAATTCTAGAATTTTATGGAGTCTGCAATAACACTTTTTGAATCTGATGAGGAAGATGGGAAATTGCTAGATATCATCAATGAAGAAATCCCCGACTTGGAAGTGGCTGGTTATGGCCTCGTGACGAGATCCATTAATGTGAAAAGTGGAGTGTAAGTTCTATTTCAGATCTTTGGGCAGTAGCAAAGAGTTAACTTGAAGTGTATCATCTTCCTTTTTAGTTTTCCTGTTTTGCTTAACATTGTATAGAGCAGCAGTTCATAGCTGCAGGAGGTGTGAGTGCCAGTTCTTGCCTCTACAAAACATTGGCAAAAGTGAAATTCCAAGTCCAATTTTTGTTTCGAGGTCTTTGTGTTTTTTAAGGGCTTGGGAATAATTTCTGGATTTCAGTGATGACTCTACTAAAGGAGCAAATATTCTGACATAAGGGATGAATGAGTAAACATAAGCCTAAATAAATATTCGCCCTTAAACTTTTTTTAAAAATTGCATCAAGAAATTAGATTTTTCTCTCCTGTTACTACTTCCTGGTTTACTATAAGCCAGCATTTCTCAACCTGTGGATCGGGACCCTTGGGGGGATTGCGGGTGGGGTGTCAAGGGGGTCCAGTTCTATCATTGGTGGGGTTCAAAGTTCTCTGATTGTAAGTGAACTATAAATTCCAGCAACTACAACTCCCAAATGGCAAGTCTATTTTCCCCGAACTCCACAAGTGTTCACATTTGGGCATATTGAGTATACGTGCCAAGATTGGTCTAGACCATCATTGTTTGAGTCTAGAGTGCTCTCTAGATGTAGCTGAACTGCAACTCCAAAACTCAAGGTCAATGCTCATCAAACCCTTCCAGTATTTTGTTTGTCATGGGAGTGCTGTGTGCCAAATTTAGTACAATTCCATCATTGGTGGAGTTCAGAATGCTCTTTGATTGTAGGTTAACTATAAATCCCAGCAACTACAACTCCCAAATGACAATATCAACCCCCCCCCCTCCCCAACCTCACTCATATTCAAATTTGGGCATATCGGGTATTTGTGCCAAATTTGGTCCAGTGGATGAAAGTACATCTTGCATATCAAATATTTACATTATGATTCATAACAGTAGTTAAATTACAGTTATGAAGTAGCAACAAAAATAATTTTATGGTTGGAGGTCACCACAATATAGAAACTGTAATAAGGGGTTGCAGCAATAGGAAGGTTGAGAATCCCTGCTTTTTCTAAGTGATAATAAGAATCAGAGCCAGTTTGTTACTGTAATAGAGCAGCCCTTTTGTATTTGTTGGGCGTATTATCAGGCATAGTGTATAAAAGAAAGCTCTGAGCTAGCAGACACTGCAGGTTGGTGGGCAGCTGGTCACTTGGTAGCTGATATCAACACAGAGAGTGAATGTTTATCTCACTGCACTGCCAAGCCAAGGGCATCCTGATTTCATAAAGAAGAAAGAAATTGGACTGTTTATTGCTTTGGTTTCCTGTCGTTATATCAAGAAGAAATGTACTTACAGAAGAAAGTGTTTGTTTTGTTCCTCTGGTGAGGACAACTACTGTGAACTGTTTTGTAACTTTGTTATTCTTAGGAAATGAACTATTTCATTTCTACTTTAAAAACACAACTGACTCAAGTGTATTTTTTGTTCGTTCAGGGCTGCACTGTAGAAGAAGAGGCTAGTATATCTTTAAAAGGATATGTGCTCATAAGCTTCCATACTCTGCTAGTCAGACAATATTGCACAAGCTATCCCTTGCCCCTCAGCTCGGAAACGTCTATTATGTTCGGCTACTGGTTGTTGTATGATGAATTATGTTTTAATTATGTTTTTATGATGTTGTTATATGTATTTTATTGTGTCATATTTTAACTTTGTCTGACTGGGCTTGGATCCCATGTAAGCTGCCCTGAGTCCCCCAGGGAGATGGTGGCAGGATACAAAAATAAAGTTATTGTTGTTGTTGTTATTATTATTAAGCACTAACATTGGTCTGACATCTCCATTATGAGTAACAGCTATAAATCAATCAGTTGGACAAAATATTTAATATACACCAATGGGGACATAATGGCCCAAAAGGAGATGCCTACTTTAAATCCATATTGAAGTAACTGGTGAAGACTTGAAAAAAATAACTTGACCTGGGTTGCTGTGAGTTTTTCGGGCTGTATGGCCATGTTCCAGAAGCATTCTCTCCTGATGTTTCACCCACATCTATGGCAGGCATCCTCATGGGTTGTGAGGTCTGTTGGAAACTAGGCAAGTGAGTTTTATATATTTGGAACGTCCAGGGTGGGAGAAAGAACTCTGTTTGAGGCAAGTGTGAATGTTGCTGTTGGACACCTCGATTAGCATTGAATAGCCTTGCAGCTTCAAAGACTGGTGGATTCCTGCCTGGGAGGAATCCTTTGTTGGGTGGTGTTAGCTGGCCCTGATTGATTCTTGTCTGGAATTCCCCAGTGTTGCTCTTTATTTGCTTTCCTGATTTTAGAGGGTTTTTTTAATACTGGTAGCCAGATTTTGTTCATTTTATGGTTTCCTCCTTTCTGTTGAAATTGTCCACATGCTTGATGACCATTTGCCATGTGTTTGTGTCTTAGGATTTTCCTTATGTGTCACATCTAGGTGGGTTGCATATCAGCAGAAGCACTTCTGTGGAGAACAATATGTATTGGAGAAAGGCAAATATAAATGTTTTTTTGATTGGGGAGGATCTAGTGAAACCATCATGTCAATCCGCCCAGTTAAGCTGGTGAGTTATCACAGTTGATGGAGAAACATAACTGTAAGCTTAAAATTATTTCTTGAAATAAAGTACAGAAAACAAAATGAATCTTTGGAGGAAAAAATGTTCATCTATTGCTGCCTATGCCATGCAGTTCAAAATATTCTTCTGCCCTACATAGAATTCTGGCTTTCTGATGGTTTCCTCTTCGTTAGGTTTTTTGCTTATTACCATGTAAGACTTGAAGAAATATCACATTAATGAGAAAAAATAGAATGCTAGAATTGCAAATTTTCAAATTGTAGAGTAATTTGTTATTTAAAAAATCCCTAACAGCATATGAAACCCTTTGCCTTTATATCAGTTGTTGGCTAATAGAATATCTGCAATTTCTGTTGTTGTTCAACCCCCCAAAAATACCTATGAATGGGACACTATTCAAATTACATTCCTGTAGATAAGGCAAGCTAAACAGGAAGTAGTTTGTATACGGTATGCCATGAACATGTATTACAGAAGCCTATGACCAAAGCTCTTACTCTCTGAAATCCTCCGCGCTCAGCTCTCCTCTCTCAGGGCTTATGATTACCGTATATTCCGGCATATAAGACGACTGGGCGTATAAGACGACCCCCAACTTTTCCAGTTAAAATATAAAGACGACTCCCGTGCATAAGACTACACCTGCGTATAAGACGACCCCTGACTTTTGCAAAGATTTTCTTGGGTTAAAAAGTAGTCTTATACGCCAGAATATACTGTAAGTCTCTTAATGGTGCCTCATATATATATTGTATATAAATCACTTCTCCTTTTTTTCAGGAGCCATTAGGAAATCATGAACCCAAACACTGGGTAAGTTTTTGTAAGAATATAATTTCCGATACAAAATTCCCCTTCTAAAAGCATCTAATTCAGCATTTCCCATCCTCAGGGTCAGGACCCCTGGAGGGATCACCGGGAAAGGGGGGGGGAGTTCAGAGGTGATAGCAAAGACCATCAGAAAACACATATTTCTGATGGTCTTAGGAACTTCTTTGCCAGAGAAAGCTGAAGATCTCTCCACCTGTCCTTCTCTTTCTTTTTGGAAACAGACAGCAAATCCTCCCACAAAAAGCCCTCCTCCTGCTGTGATTGTAGGTGAACTATAAATCCCAGCAACTACAACTCCCAAATGCCCATGCCTGTTTTCCCCAAACTCCACCAGTGTTCACATTTGGCCATATTGAGTATTTGAGCCAAATCTGGTCCTGATCCATCATTGTTTGAGTCCACAGTGCTCTCTGGATGTAGGTGAACTACAATTCCAAAACTCAAGGTCAATGCGCACCAAACCCTTCCAGTGTTTTCTGTTGGTCATGAGAGTTCTGTGTGCCAAGTTTAGTTCAATTCCATCATTGGTGGAGTTCAGAATGCTTTTTGATTGTAGGTAAGCTATAAATCCCGGCAACTACAACTCCCAAATGACAAAATCAATCCCCCCATCAACCCCAGTGGTATTCATATTTGGGCGTATTGGGTATTTGTGCCAAATTTGGTCCAGTGAATGAAAATACATCCTGCATATCAGATATTTGCATTATGATTCATAACAGTAGCAAAATTACACTTATGAGGTAGCAACAAAAATAATTTTATGGTGGCGGGTCACCACAACATGAGGAACTGTTTTAAGGGGTCACAATATTAGGAAGATTGAGAACCACTTGTCTAGTGTTTATTTTTTCCTAAATCTGAGTCTTCCTCTGGTTATAATTAGGCATGATTTCAGACTTGTTCAAAGCAGTGGGGTATAGGTTAAAAATGTCACTCTTTTTGGTAGATATTTGTCAGTACATAATTCCTTTATTCTTCAACATGATTTCATAATGTGTTTTGAAATCACTGAGGAGTTATTTCTCTTCCAATTGTCTACATGTTTCTCCTGCATTTGTTCATGGTAAACATTAATATTTATAAATATAAATCATAACAGGAGGGAAGAATGTAAGTGTAAATGAGGACAAAATTATAAGTTGCCAAGTCATAAACCTCAGTGACCCTAGGCAGTAAAGCTTTACTTCATTAATAAGTTTCGCTGTTGTCTTTCGTTTATAATAACATCCTTTGTCCTCCTCCTCCAGAAAGAATTGTTGCTTCAGCAATGCTTATATATAGTTTCTATAAACAGACTCCTCTTTTTTTAACTTTTCTTTGAAAAATGGGCATTTTTTTTTACTTTTGCAGGTATTTTATATTATAATTTACTTGTTGGTTTATTTTTCTAATGGAGCCCTGGTAGCGCAGTGGGTTAAACCTTTGTGCTGGCTGGACTGCTGACCAAAAGGTTGGTCGTTCGAATCCGGGGAGCAGGATGAGCTCCCATCTGTCAGCTCTAGCTTCCCATGTGAGGACATGAGAAAAGCCTCCCATAGGATGGTAAAACATCTGGGCATCCCCTAGGCAATGTCCTTGCAGATGGCCAATTCTCTCACACCAGAAGCGACTTACAGTTTCTCAAGTTGCTCCCCTGAAATGAAAAAAAATCTTTCTAATGTATTTATCATTTCTTCAACCATCTAGAGCAGGTCTTCTTAAACATTTTCCACTTGTGACCCCTTTCTGCCCAATAATAATAATAATAATAACTTTATTTTTGTATCTCGCCACCATCTCCCCAAAGGGATTTGGGGCAGGTTACATGGGGAGAAGCCCGATCAACATAGTTAAAATATAACATAGTAAAATTCATAAAACAACACCATAAAACAGTATAAAACAACTATTGAACAAACAACCAATAGCCGGACTTAGTAAACAATTACTGAGCTTGAGCGGGCAGGCTGGTGCAAATCAGTTGTAAGGACAGGGCTGATGGATAAAGTGCAGAATCCCAGCATTGAACTAAAAGAACCTTATTTGAGATCAGGACCCACAGTTTAAGATCACATCTATTTTAAAGAAATGAGGAAGTGTTGTTAATGGGGTTTTTGACAAAATATGTTTACTAAAATTGACTTTTTTTTTTAAAAAAAAAAGGAAAATGTGGATGTGTCTTGCCATCTGCATAAAATTATTCCTAGGTATTTCTTATATTTCTTATATACTCAATTCCATATATATTGATATAGTTGGGCTGCAGGGCCTATTAGTCTTAAGTAGCATAGAAGAATAATGGGATTTTTGAACCATAGCAACATTTGGAAGACCACACAATTCCCAACCCCTGCTTTAAAACACTATTGGACAAGAGCATACTTCTTTGAACACACAGTTAATCAGACAACAACCGACGATATTGTTTTCATTAGAGCAAAGTATTTATTTTGAAATTACAGAGCAGTCCTTTGACAAAAATATTTACTGTAATTATATATTACTGTCTGTTAATTTATTTTCCTCCAAAATGTTGTTTCTCTGTAGCTTAAAGCTTTCAGTAACACACATTTCCAAGGAACATATATGGATATTACAACAGAAGTTGCTGAGTTTGACTCATTCTCACCTTGTTCTTTTAAAGTTCTGCGGGGATGGTGAGTTGTTTTATCAATATTTTAAAGCTGTTTAGAAACCATTTTAATCTCTCTTTTTTAAGGCTTCAGAGTTTTATCAGCATATGTATTCTTAAATTACATTAAATGCTGTCTTAATATTGTGGTGGAAAAATACTGTTGGCTTCCTTATAGAGACATGTGGAGTTGCTGTAGCCTGAAATCGGATTTGTGATCTGCCTTAAGAAAGGTTCAGCAGTCATAACCTTTACTACTAGTTAAACTGTCTGCATCATAAACTGTTTGGCATCAGCACACATCATGACCAGGCAAAAGCTGGAGCCCAAAGGTCCCACCCAGTAAGGTCCCAGCTCCAGTGACACCTTCCTGTTCAATGCTCTTGTGTGGCTTCTTCTAAATGTTGTCCTCTTGCCACTCCATTCAGCATTGAAAAGGATGCAATGAGCGAGTATGAAAAAGAGAGTGGAGGAGAGTGATCATCCCAATCCATTCCATTCTGTAGTTTTTTTAGCGTGGTCATTTCCCCCTTAAGAGCAAAATGTGTTTGATAGGTTCTTCAATATGAGGTCAGATCTGGGAGAAGCTTTAAAGTGTTTATATCCAGTCAAAGCTATTATTGACTTAGTATGGCAAATGCTACTGTGTTGGACACGCCTTGTAACCTGTCAAGAACTATGGTGGGGATGCCAACTTGGAAGCACAACAAAATCCCATCTGGACCTTCCCCAACAGTGAAGGAGAAGATGGAGATGTCAACTTAATTTGGGCTGTTGTCCTCACCTCATGGAATAAGCTCCCACTGAGATAAGACTGATTTCCTTCAGAGTAAAGTTGTTTATGAAAGCAGGACAGAGCTCCTTCTGTCAAGGCACTCAAGTTTGATTTTCAAATTAGACCACATACCCCAAAGCAACCAAGTATTACTTCTGCAACTACGTACTCCATCTTTTCCCCCCTATTGATTTGTGAATTGTCCAAAATGAAGCTGTTGGGGTGACCTAAATTTCAGGTCGGTTAGCTGATAATCATACAGATAACAATGCAATCTTGTGAGTTAATGTAATTGAAAATATAGCCGCGTCCTGACTGTGAGAGCAGTTTGACAGCACATTGTGCTTCTTCAAAATGTGATGGGGGTCTACTTTGGAAGTTTTTAAACAGAAGCTGGATGGCCATCTGTCAGAACTGATTTGATTGTGTTTTCCTGCAGGGGGTTGGGCTGGAAGGCACCTGTAGTCTCTTCAACCTCTTTCATTCAGTGATACTTTGCCTAGGGATATATCTCAAGCCAGGAGCCAGAAACAGATTATAATGTCTGTTTTCTGTTGTGTGTTGCATTCTCTTCCCTCGGAATTAAGTCAAATGCTCATTTATAGATTTCTCTCCCCCCTGCCTACATATTTTATTTTGAGAAAAGCTTAACCTGCAACAGTATTCAATGTTTTCCTTGGGTTTCTCTTTTCAGTTGGTTGCTGCATTACCAGGGGAGCTCAGATAATGATCAGTGTGTGCTGGAAGAAGACCTCTACACTGACCTTGCTTCCTGTGGCTGTCCAGCAGCTGCAGTCAAGTCCCTTAAGCCCGTTGAATATGTAAGAATCCAATGGTCTGTTTTCATAACTAGCAGTGTTTAGAAGAAGTCAGTTGAATTCCAGAAATACTTATTCCACCCCCCCCCCCCCCCAAATAAATGTGCATTTGTCCGTCTAAAAAGACTCTTCAGTCATTAACTTTTAAAACAGTCCAACAGAAGTTAGCAGAACAGTGAACTTGGACTGGAGCCACATCACTATGTGGCCACATCATTGATCTAGTGAAGCTCATAAACCTGCTACCTGCATTTAGAGCCTGACTCATGGCCTTTGTACTTTGTGCCTTTATAACATGAAGAAATGCTGACCTGTGGAGGGATGTGGCTGGGCTACTATTTAAAACTGAACAAGTCTGCCCAACTTTGTGGGAATTCCTTGTATTATAAATAGGTAGTAGTTAAAAATAGGCTGGACTGTTTGTTGACTAAGGCTTGTCTCTACTAGTAAAAACCTTGTACTAATCTCAGCTCCAGAGCTTCATGATGCACAGCAACTTCTCATAAATATCCAGAGGTTTTTGCCCTTAACCTAACTTTGTTCCACACTGGACAAAGTCAGGGGATACTCCAGTTTTCGGCGAACTCTAGAATACCTTTGGGCTTTTTGGCTGTCTGGGCAACTGAATCAAATCAGTCTCAGCCCAATTCATTGTGTTTATTTCTGTTTTAATTTTTGTATATTCGTATACAGTAGAGTCTCTCTTATCTAACATAAACAGACCAGCAGAACGTTGGATAAGCGAAAAAGATGGATAATTGCTTCAAAAGCAATCTCTAGAACTGCAGTTAAAATAATTGTGATCTTCAATTATTAATGTGTGATTTAAATAATACAAGTCTATTTAGTAAGAGTTGTATGCTTATAGTGGATCATCACATTACAGTAGAGTCTCGCTTATCCACATAAACAGGTCGGCAAAATGTTAGATAAGTAAAAATGTTGGATACTAAGGAAGGTTTAAGGAAAAGCCTATTAAACATCAAATGACGTTATGATTTTACAAATTAAGCACCAAAACATTATGTTTTACAACTAATCGACAGAAAAAGCAGTTCAATACACAGTGACGTTATGTAGTAATTACTGTATTTAGGAATTTAGCAGCAAAACATTGCAATGTATTGAAACAGCTGGGAATCCGGGTGGGAGGCAGACTGCGTTGGATAATACAGAACTCTGGATGAGCGAAGGTTGGATAAGCGAGACTCTACTGTATTTTAAACTCCCCGCTAATACTTTTATGTCAAACCGCTTTGAGTTCCCTTTGGGAAAATAAAATGAGGTATAAATAAATATATTATTATTATTATTATTATTATTATTATTATCATCATCATCATCATCCACACTTTGCACTATTTTGCTGCTTAACTAGTGTGATGGGAAACATTCAAAGCTTAAAGGTTACTTTTAAAAAGTACTGGCTATCATTGTAGTTCTAGAGCTCCCCCAAACGTAGCACATTTTGTTTAGCTGCTTCTACACACTTTGTGCTCCACATTTGCACATTTTTAACTGACAAATTTGATTAAAACATTCTCTTGTATCTAGGTCCTCTAATGTGACTCTATGTGAATATCTAGGTCCTCTAATGTGACTCTATGATCAATTTCCTCCAAAAGTTAAAAATGACTCAGTTCTTTCCTTTTACTGTTGCATATATAGCTTAAAAGCCATAAACTGCTTATAACTATAAAACATTTTTCCCTACTTACCTCATCATTATCTCCACACCTCAGAAGAGTGCAAAACAATTATTATCCTCCTCCACATACCTTTAACCATCAAGTAAAGGTAAAGATTTCCCCTGACATTAAGTCCAACTTTGGGCAGTGGTCCTCATCTCCATTTCTAAGCCAAAGAGCAAGCATTGTCCATAGACACCTCCTAGGTCATGTGGCCAGCATGACTACATGGAGTGCTGTTACCATCCCACAGAAGCGGTAACTATTGATCTATCCACATTTGCATGTTTTCGAATTGATAAGTTGGCAGAAGCTGAGGCTAACCGTGGGAACTCACCCTGCTCCCTGGATTCGAACCACCAACCTTTCAGTCAGCAAGTTCAGCAACTCAGCAGTTTAACCAGCTGAGCCACCATAGCGGCCCCCATTATTCGTAAAAGTAACTAAATGATAGTTCCATGCTTTACACTTTTTCCCTTTTACTTTATGCCACAGTTGTCAAGAACATGTACCCTGGTTAGTACTTGGGAGAGAGACTACAAACAAATATTTGCTGCTATAGGTTAGATTTCAGAGGATGGAGCTGGCAGACCCACCTCTTGAGTATTCCTTTCCTGAGAAAACCCGATGAAATCCATGGGGTCACCATGTGTTGAGAAACAACTTGAAGGCACATACATGTATGTACACATACACCAGAGGTGTCAAACTCATTTCCATCGAGGGCCACATCAGCCTTGCGGTTGCCTTCAAAGAGCTGTTGAATCCATCGAGGGAAAATCCATGAATACAGAGAGCCAACTATACTTTTTACATAGAGGTTTGTCCTCTTTAGTTTTCCCTCCGTTTTGATCCCTAAATGAAACAATCACTTTTTATTATCTGCCACGCAGACTGGGGATCATGGAATTACAACCCAATACTTGTGGACCTGAGGTTAGGGAAAGGTTAAAGGACATTTTAAAGTCAGGCATCATATCTAAATTCAAACTGCACTATCTTAACTAAGTAGAATACAGCCTTCAAGATGTAATTGTATCACAACTCCCATCAGCTCTACATAAGATGTCTGTCTATGAGGAATACAGGAATCATAGAATCATAGAGTTGGAAGAGACCTCATGGGCCATTCAGTCCAACCCCCTGCCAAGAAGCAGGAATATTGCATTCAAAGCACCCCTGACAGATGGCCATCCAGCCTCTGTATAAAAGCTTCCAAAAGAAGAAGCTTCCACCACACTCCAGGGCAGAGAGTTCCACTACTGAACGACTCTCACAGTCAGGAAGTTCTTCCTAATGTTCAGATGGAATCTCCTTTCTTGTAGTTTGAAGCCATTTTTCCACGTCCAGGGCAGCAGAAAACAAGCTTGCTCCCTCCTCCCTATGACTTCCTCTCATAGGTTGTAGTCCAGCTTCTGGAGGGCTACATAAAAGGACATGTAAGACCAGATTTGGCTCCTGGGTCTTGAGTTCCATCTCTCTCTTTCTCTCTCACTCTCTCTCACTCTCTCTCTCTCTCTCCCATACACACACACACAACAAGTACAGAGTTAGAAGTCTCATCCTGCTAGAGGACAGTGCCCTCTAGCTCCAAGAGTGCCTCAGCATTAGCCACAAAGCTGTAAGAAGATACTATCAGGCTGGATCTGCACTGCCTTATATTCCAGGATCTGATGCCAGATTAACTGCTTTATATGAGTCTAAACTGCCAGATAATCTGGGATCAGATCCTGGGATATAGGGCAGTGTAGATCCAGCCACAGTCTCTCTGACTTTTCCTCTTTTGATAAATTGGGCTCCTGATACTCTTTGGTACCAACAGGGAATTAAATCATTACAGCATTAATGGTATGGAGATCATTTATTAGTGTTACTAATCTCTTGTAAATCGGAGAGGGTTCAATTATAACTATCATTGATACTTGTTGTTTAGCTTATTAGAAGAAATCCTTTAACTTTATTAATAGGTTCCTACCAACCCAATAAACTGAGTAGCAAAAGAAAACTTTCCTCAACTGTATTCAGGGATTTCCCCCTTGTTCCTAAGTGTTGAAAAGAGTGTGAGAAATGAACAAGGAAGGCTCTTTGTATTTGCCGGTTTTTTGGTGCTTTGTTTTCAGGAGCACCCTATGTTAAATTAAGTTTATGTATCAAATTAACCAAAAGGTTGCAGGTTCGAATCTGGGGAGCAGCGTGATCTCCTGCTATTAGCCCCAGCATCTGCCAACCTAGCAGTTTGAAAACATGCAAATATGAGTAGATCAATAGGTACTGCTTCGGTGGGAAGGTAATGGAGCTCCATGCTGGCCACATGACCTTGGAGGTGTCTGCGGACAATGGCGGCTCTTTGGCTTAGAAATGGAAATGAGCACTACCACCTCGAGTCAGACACAACAATTATTAATATGTTTGCAATCAGTGTGCTTAACTGATATGTTTAGATTTGTAGTTAGAATATGTGGGGGCCCTACCCTCATGTATTTCATCTCACAGGCTGTGTACCTTTTTCCTGCTAGAAGGTCCTTTTGCAAATTCATTTTCTCTGCAATTGCACTGCCAAGAGAAATCCAATTTGGATCTTACCAGTCATATTAATTCTTCTAGGTGTTTGCTGAGCCTTTCATCAGTCTTTTTGCTTTGGAGAACTGTGAAGGCAGAGAATGGCATTTGCAAGAAGCTGTTGGTTCAGTTGTAAATAAGGATCTTCATTTCCTTACCCAGTCTGTGTGGGTGAAAAGTGGACTGTAAGTATCATGACTTCTAAAGTTGTATTGTTTGGTCAGAGGACAATAATATACCCAAATTGTCCAAAATGAAGCAAGTGAGCTGTATTGCATAGCATTGTGGTTCACTCTTGTACGTCAAACTGGGAAATGAAGAACTGTCTTTCTCAGCTTTCTCAAATTTGCTGTTGATAAAGCATGCCTAGAGGAGTAAATTTCTTGAGTGCCTTTATGAAATGGGCATGGTGTTGGACAGAAACAGTGAAAAATAGATATAGGATTCTTTCTTATAAAATAATTTAATGTAAATTTGGTTTCCAGTAAGATGAATTCTTAAGATTTTTTGCATAGTATGTTGACAATGTAGATATATTACTCCTAAGTAGATGAAGCAAGCAATTTGCTGATCCAGGGCAGATTTGAAAAAGGAAAGGTGAAATTTCTCTAAACTATGAAGCCCTTTAGAATAGTAAATGAACTGTTACATAAATGGACAATGAAGCTTACATTATGCTACAGGGACATTGTTCTAGACTTTAACAATGCCTAAATCCCATATATTCAATTCCAAGACCATTTTGCCCCTGAAAGACAGTTTAACCAAGCCCATTTCTCTGAGCTTTGAGTATCACTTTACGTATCTCAGCCATATATCATCTGAATCAAATAATGGCAAGTATTGTAATTACTGCAAGTTCTTTATTTCTTTACCAACTTTAAATATTGTCTATTTGTTGGACCTTTACATATATTCCATAAATTGGGGTTTATTGGTAGCTTTACTGTCTATATTGTCAGCACTGGTGTAAGCATTGCTTCAGCAAAGATCATAGTATGTTTGTAAATGCGTTTTCAATTGTTATGCAAAACATCAATTTTAGGTCAGCATTAGATTGGGTTGTAGTAGGTTTTTTGGGCTGTATTGCCATGTTCTAGAAGCATTCTCTCCTGTTTCACCTGCATCTATGGCAGGCATCCTCAGAGGTTGTGTGGTTGTCAGGAGAGAATGCTTCTAGAACATGGCCATACAATCCAAAAAACCTACAACAACCCAGTGATTCCGGGCATGAAAGCCTTTGACAATACAGCTTTAGATTGCTCAGTTCATATGAATTTCATACTATTTTTAGAGAATTTTAAAAGATCCATGGGTTGCTATATTCATTACATGTATCTTTTAGCTGATTCTATTTTTAATAGAGATTATTTTATCCAATTTATATACCTGGTTTATGTAATGTGTTATTGTTTTCATGTTGATGTATTTTATTTTATGTATTATGCATTTTATGTATGGCATCTTTGTGTGCTATTTTGTAAGTTGCCCCAAGTCCCTGTGGGAGATGGTGGTGGGGTATTATTATTATTATTATTATTATTATTATTATTATTATTATTAAAAGTATTAGCATTCTTATTCCACTTGACTAACTCTTAATCCCCATGAATATTCACTGTCCCTTTTAAAGGTATTGATTACACTATTTTCACAACAAAGAAATCAATACTTCTGTTTTCATGCCTATATTCTTTGTAACATATGAATAGTATTTGTGTGTGTGTGTGGAAGTGTACTGGATGTATGCACATGCCTATATTTACACATATTATTTGTGTACTCGAAAGAGCCCCAAGATACACAGTATTAAAGAGTAGAAGTGTAGGTCTTTCGACATGTTGCAGGCAAGACAGAACATGCAAACGATGCATGAATAAATTGCAGAGTTGGATCAAAGAATTTTACTTGCAATACAAGGAAATACCATTTATTTTTGAAAGGTTTGTAAAAAAAACCCCAGCTGTCAGTTTTAACTGTTGTTTCTGTGATTTAAAAAAAGCAAGGGGGGGGGGGACTCTTGGAAGCCAGATAAAAATCCATATAGTCCTACTATGTCCTTCTAAGTTACAGATCTAGACTAGCATTCAGTCTTGCAGTATTGGATTCATAACCGACAATTATAAATCTGTAATTGTTCTATATTCAGTAAGAGTTCATAAATGCCACCCAGAACCAGCAATTATTCAGGTAAAGGTAAAGGTTTTCCCCTGACATTAAGTCTAATCATGTCCAACTCTGAGGGGGGGTGGGGGGGCGCTCATCTCAGTTTCTAAGCTGAAGAGCCGGCGTTGCCTGTAGATGTTTCCAAGATCATGTGGCTGGCATGACTGCATGGAGTATCATTACCTTCCCGCAGAAGCGGTACCTATTAATCTACTCACATATTCATGTTTTTGAACTGCTAGGTTGGCAGAAGCTGGGCCTAACAGCAGGAGCTCATCCTGATCCCTATGTTTGAACTGCCAACCTTTTGATCAGAAAGTTCAGCAGCTCAGCAGTTTAACCCGCTGCGCCCCCAGGGGCCCCTACATTATATCAGGAGTCTATTCAATTTCCCATTGGGGCACAAAACCATGGGTGTTTCCATCTCCATCTCACCATTGAGCAAGGCTGTGGCCATTGGAAGCAGGGTCCCGTCACAAGTCTGTTTCACAACATTGTTTATTGGAAGGAGGCAGATGGAAACGTCCTCTACATGCCAGACCATCTTCGCCTGATCCAAGGAATTGGCTCTTAAGGTGGGATGGGAGCTGGTCAGTTGCAAGCATCTACACATATCTAAAGTATCTGGTATATGATATTGGCAACAGAAAAATCACATTCTTGCTTTTGTGCCATGAACAAAACCAAGGGTTTTAAAGGAACTGGCGGTGCAGGGAAATGGATTACAATAAAAACAAATCAAAATTCTGCTGGGAACTTTCAAGGCTTTGGGCACGCCTGTGGAAATGTATTACTGAGAAGTCTCACTGGAATCATCTTTTGTGTTGAACCAGAACTGGGAGAATATTATTCCAAATGTGAGCTATTTTTATTGTCCATTCTCTTGCCTCCCTCCCCAGTGTTAGAAAAGCCTGTTGGCAAGAGCTTCTGCATGAGGAGAGCCTTAAATTGCTGTCAACCACTGTTAAAAATAATTAAATTCCAATCTAAGCAGAGAAGATAATCTTGTATACTGTGCTTTTTCTTTGACTTGAAACATCTTGGTCTTTACTTGTTTCATTATAAATGAGATTGGCAGAGGTTGTCATCTTCTATTGAACTGATTTCCTAGAAATGTGTAGATGCAATCCTGTATCTGTCCGTTTGAATGTAATTCCCACTGAAATATGCATGGAAGTACAGTTTTATTGGGTTATGTATTGTTGCCGTTACTAAAATCATAGAGTTGGACGAGACCACAAGGGCCATCCTGTCCAACCCTCTGCTGTGCAGAAATACATCATCAAAGCAGTCCTAGGAGATGGATATCCAGCCTCTACTAAAAACCTCCAGAGGAGATTTCACCACACTCCAAGGCAGCATATTTCACCAACAAACAGCTCTTGCCATTAGGATTTTTTTCTTCATGTCCAGGTGGAATATCTTTGTCTATAGTTTGAATCTGTGGCTCTGTGTCTTACTCTCCTGAGCAGCAGAAAACAAGTTTGCTCCCTCCTCCCAAAGATTTAAAGATGGCTATCATGTCTCCTCTCCTCAACCTTTTCTTCAGGCTAAACATCCCCAGCTCCCTAAGCCACTCCTCATAGGACTTGGCTTTCAGACCTTTGATTCTTTTGGCCACTCTTCTCTGGACATGTTCCAGCTTGTTAATATCCTTCTTGAAATGTGGTCCCCAGAACGGGACATAGTATTCCAGATGAGGTCTGTCCAAAGCAGAATAGAGTGGGATTATGACTTCTCTCGTTCTAGACCAGTGGTTCCCAACCTGTGATCTGTAGACCACCATTTGTGCGCAAGAACGAAAATATGATCTATAGTGTCACCATTACTACATTGTTGCCTTGAAGCCACGCGGCAACGAGAGTGACTCATCTCACGAAACCCTCTTGTAGTGCTGAGGCAACAGGGATGTCGGTAGGGGAGAAGCTGACTATCCATGAAAGATCACTACTACCACATCAGTTCTAGATTATTAAATATGGTTTTCTGTGTGTGAGCAGCTGGCAACTACTGGATGGCATATGTTCTGTATCAGAAACTAGAGCTACCCAATGCAGTTTTCTGACTCAGCACTCCAAATAACCAAACCGAAGCTAAAGTTGACCAAAAAACAGATTCATAACCCTTTTGGTACTAATGTTGGAGAGTGGTCCCTGTTCAAGTGGTCCCTGACCAAAAAAAGGTTGGGAACCACTGATCTAGACACTGCTTCTGTCGGTGCAGCCTAAAATTACATTGGCATTTTAAGCTGCTGCATCACACTATTGACTCATGTTCGGCTTGTAGTGTACTAAGGAACCTAGTTCCCTTTCACAAGTATTGTGGACCCCATCACAGAGGTTTCTTGCCAAAATTTGAGGGGGGGAGAGACTTTTCTGGTGAGCTATTGAAAATAGGTTTAAAACCAAGTCAAGGGGGAGGGAGGGTGTTTTATTTATTTTTTAAATAAGTTCTAAACTGTTTTAATGGTTTAAAATTTTTATTTTTAAGTGGTGGTTGGTTGAATTCTGTTTTAACACTGTTCACTGCTGTAAGGGCCTCATCACACTAGAGAATGACTCCGCTTTAAATCCAGTTGCTACCTCCTGCAGAATTCTGGGGTTTGTAGAATCCCAGAATTCTGCAGGAGGCAGAAACCGGATTTAAAGTGGATTCATTCTCTAGTGTGATGAAGTGGTAAGTCTCTGTTAAGAGAAAAAGTGGCATACAAATAAATATAACATTATACGCACACATAATGCCTCCTTCTGAAGTATGGCTTGTCTAGAGGCTGACTGGATTGTAATGGGTAGCCCTGGTCAGCAGAGCCATGGCCCATCACCCAAACCATTACACTGTACTGGGCTCTGAACTTGGCATTAAGTATATTAGTAAATATTACATCTTGGCATTTATTAGAAAAAAAGTGATATTAATATATTTCAATTTCTATTCATTGTAAACAGATGGATCGCCTATGAAGGTTGTAATTTTGTAGGGAAGCAATTTCTCCTCACACCTGGCAAGATTTCAAACTGGACTCAGTTTAGCAGCTGGAAAGTAATTGGTTCCCTTCGTCCTGTGAAACAGGTAATGCAATAAAATTCTTTTTTTTCTTATAAAAGGAATATAAACATGTATTTTCAAATTTCAGAAATCCTTAAAAGGTGTGGATAGATGTTTATTGCCTTCCTGCTGAATAGACCTTAGATGTGTTTTGTCAGGTTTGGAGATGTGTACGTGCTACAACCCAAAACTAAACGTCTTCAGAGGGGGGGGGGGGACTAAATTTAGTCTGTATCCATTTAATGTATGCTTCTTCATGAAGTATGAAATGATGATTATTTTCTGTTTCAGCCAGCAGTGTACTTCAGAATAAAGAACAGGTCCCAAGACAGATACCTGACAGTTGCTGGGAATCTAATGGATGCAAGAGCCTCATCTGTATGTCTTTCCCCATTAAATGGGAAGAATACTCAGATCTGGTGCTACAGCTGTGGTCTGATCAAATCAAAGGTACTTTGCTTCGCTACTGGAACTACAGTCCCTTGTTGCTCCTCCTGAGTGTCATTAAAGCTGGCTACTGGTTTTTCTGAGCACTTAGGGACCATGAAAATCTGACCTGCATCAGATGAACTTTATGAGGCAGAAGGGTACTTAACTCTTCCTCTGCTTCTTGTTTCCTGCCAGATTGCTTCTTAGCCAGTCCAGATACAAAATAGCATTTCCGTTACCTTCACAAGTTTCTTGTTTGTTCAGATAGGGATAAAGCTAGGTCCTGTATTCCAGAAGCAAATAAGCACTTTGTATCATCTAGGGAAACATTGTTTGTTGTTTGTCAGCCTTGATGGGAGAACAAATTATTTGAACTCAGCATCTCTTTTGAGATGTTTTCGCTTTGAATGTTTAATTCATTTTGGTCTCCAAAATATAGCTTCAGTGAACTTTTTCATTGCATTGACTTGTATCAGATATTCAAGCAATGTCATGTCTATCATGTATCAGCAAGGGGAAAATAGTATAACCATTCTAATTATTACAGAGAGCTCAAGGACTGAGTTTTGGGGGCCTTCCTTTTAGAGGGAGATTGCCTGCTGCTGTCTGAGCTCAATCCATGATTAATGACTCTGTCCCCTTGGCACTTTAAAGGCACCAGCTGGGATGTTCCTTACATGGATGTGTGAATGCAGAAATTTAGCAAAGCAATAAGCTATATATTATGTCCAGAACTGGCAAACGTATACTGTATCTAGAAACTTCTCTTATAAGTTGAATCTGGTGAATTTACTAACACATTGAAGGATGCATTTGACTCTGTTAAACAGTAGTACTTTTCCCTCACTTATTGTGGGGGTTCCATTCCAGGACCCCCGCGATAAGTGAAAATCCATGAAATAAGGGTATTCAAAGAGAGTTGTAGTTCACCTACATCCAGAGAGCACTGTGGACTCAATGATGGATCTGCACCAAACTTGGCATGAATACTCAATACAGAGAAGGAGCCCAAGACCAGCCAAGGAAGAAGGCCCAGGAGACAAGAGCCCCCCAAGGCAAAAATTGGACCAAAGGCCCAAAACAAACATGCTTCCAGCCACTTCCCACCAGTGCTGCCACATCCTTGCAGCAGCAGCTGCCACCACCAAGTTCGCTGCCAAGGGAAAGCACGCTGTCTGGCGTGGCCTTCCAAAGCCTAGCCAATTGAGGGAGAACAGGGTCCACCTCCCATACGCTGGCCACTCCACTGGTGGGAACTTCTCCTGCGCCGAGGGGGCTGCTGGGAAGAAGGAAGGCCCCTCTGTCAGCATGGTGGAGGAAGGAAGGCAAGGAGGGAGGGAAGGTGAGGAGGAGGAGATGGCTGTGAGGGCGCAGGGAAAACCACGAAACAGCGAGTCCGCGGTAAATGAACCATGAAGCAGCGAGGGAACACTTTGATCTAAAAGCATTTTTAGTAACATGTAAAGAGCTCTTGGTGGCACAGTGGGTTAAAGTGCTGAGCCGCTGAACTTGCTTACAAAAGGTCACAGGTTCGAATCCAGGGAGTAGTGTGAGCTCTCGCTGTTAGCTCCAGTTTCTGCCAACCTAGCAGTTTGAACATATGCAAATGTGAGTAGATCAATAGGTACCACTCTGGCAGGAAGGTAACAGTGCTCCATGCAATCATGCCGGCCACATGATCGTGGAGATGTCTAGGGACAGCACCAGCTCTTTGGCTTAGAAATGGAGATAAGTGCTAGCCCCCAGAGTCAGACTCAACTGGACTTAATGTCAGGGGGAAACTTTTACCTTTATCTATAAAGCCAAATGCATTATCTAATATTGCCACTCTGTATACGCAACCGACATTCATTCACAGAACAATGTAATTACCATAATTGTAGACTGGAACTCAACTGGACAAAGTAAAAAGGAAAACTCTGTTTTAGGAAATGCCGTACTAGAAGCAACTGCATAATTTCATTTTACGGAAGGTGAGGGGAGTGGCTCTGTGACCCCCAAAAGTCTTACCTAGCACAAAAAATGAAGAATGCTGGGAACTGCCATTCAGTAACCTCTGGGAGTGGGGTGGGGAGGGTGGGACACAGTTGCCATTCCCTGATTTAGGATAAGATCAAACCTCTCCTAATACAAGCACAGGCCTGTTTGTAGGCCATATGCAAGCCCAAAGAGTGTTTATGCCTGTAGCATACCCATATTTGTTCCTAGTCTTCAGGCAAAATATGTTTTTAAACTGAGTAGTAGTGATGAAACTGGCTTTCTGTTCTCAATGAGTCACTTGTATTCCTTTGGGGCATGATGGATGAAACTTGTCAGGTGGTTGGCATCTGTATTCTGACTGTAGTTTCCTGGAGGCATCTTCCTCCAGAAGCACATGCAAAATAACGCCCGTCAGGGAAATGAAAAGATTCTGCTTTCATATTGGTGCATCTAGGTTAACAACGCTTGCCTTGATGTCATTGGAGGCAGAGATACTCCAGGAGCCAAAGTAGCTTTGTGGGTAGAACATGGAAAGGCAAGGCAGAAGTGGACATACAACAAGGATGGGACTATCAGTTCATACCTCAGTGATCAGCTTGTTCTCGATATCAAAGGTACAAAAATGCTTCTAATTGGTTTTACTTTCTGAAAAGGGTAGGCACTGGAATCCATCGCTCACTCAGTCCAGTTTTATGGGCAGCCAAAATAGTAAAGTGTTACCATTTAAGTAGTTGCTAGCTGCCAGACATCATGATATAACTGAATTGAAAAATTGATTTGTGTAAACACAATTAGTCAATTTCCTACAGTTTTATCTTCTAGGAAGATTGGCTTTTGCCCCGTAGTTAGCATATTCTGAGGCTTTTCACAAATCACCACACTGTGTTACTGAACAATGGTGTCACTGGCTGGGGCTAGTGGATGTTATTATCTGAATGTCTAAACTTGAGAAAGGCTGACGTTCTGCTTGTTTTTAAAAGCAAAACTAGATGAAATTATGTGTATTAGGATAGCCCCTGCCTATGTGGTACTCACAACTTCTGAGGATGCCTGCCATAGATTCAGGCAAAATGTCAGGAGAGAATGCTTCTATAGGACTTTATATTCCTATTCTTGATATATGCAGAACTAATTTTTAACAAAGATAATGGCCTGAATCCTGTAAGACAGTGATTCTCAACCTGTGGCTCCCCAGATGTTTTGGTCTTCAACTTTCAGAAATCCTAACAGCTGGTAAACTGGCTGGGATTTCTGGAAGTTGTAGGCCAAAACACAGGTCAAGAAACACTGCTGTAAAGCTTAACTGCAACAGATGTATTGACAACTGTTGACCCACCATTCAATATTTTTTCTATATACTCATAGAATCAGATATGGACAGGACCACATAGACTATTCAGTCCAACCCCCTTGGATCATACCAAAATCCACAACCTTGGCCCCAAAACCTGCCCTCGATTTATCCATTAGTATATACTAGGCAAACGTTTTTGAAAGGGGGCTGCATGCTGAGACCAGGGGGAGAAACCAAGGCTTGGCATGGGGGGAGGCCAGGGGGCTATTGGTGGTGGGGGGAGGGGAAGGAAGCTGAGAAGGGGGAGGGCTTCACACGTGCTGGTGCAGGGCTCTCGGGAGAGCCCTACACAACTACGTGTGCCTGCAGGGCGCTCCTCTTCACTGCAGACAGAAGGGCTTGACACCCGACTGCACAGTGCTCTTGGGAGGCAAGAGCTGCATCTAGCCTGAGAGTATATATGGTAAGCACCATTAATTCAGTGAGTCTACTCTAGTTGGGACAAACAGGATTCTGGCCATTATGTATATTTCTCAAGCTTACAATGCGTAATATTTTACAAGTAATTAAATGAGTATATATTAACCATCACTCTCTCAAACTTCTGTTTCAGGAGGATGCTATTATGACAGGAACCACATTATTGTAAACCAAGTAAACAGCAATGAATGTACACAGAAATGGGATGTTGAAATATTGTGAATCAGTTTGCTACTATAAAACATGTAACAGTACGGCCAAACTACTGAAGTCACATAGCACTGGTGCATGTTGTAGAATATATCTTGAATTTTCCAGGCAGAAAATCAAAAATTGTCAAAAATTTCAAGTATGTAAATAGGCTATGCAAAAGTAATTCTATATTGTCTAATTTAGGATATCTCTTCACAAGGTAAAATGAAGTAGTGTCCTATACAGCAGTCATAATTAAGCAATAACTAAAACCAATTTAACTGATCTTGTTCCTGTAAAAATGTGTATTTCTTTAACACTTTACCTCATCATGCAATAACTAGTGAGAATTTTGCCCTTAAATGCATCTTCTGTTAAGTTACAGGTTATGTGCTGTCAGTGGAAGCGTGTTCAATATTGCACTATTGTATCAATGTATCTCACTTTTAAAGAAAACTAGGATTGGAATCCTGTTAGTGCCTTATGTGATTGTAGGTGGTAACACAGCAACAGGAGAAAAAAGGCCATAGGTGCATAGCTGAAAGGAAAAGCAGAGGAAATCGCTGCCATTGGGAAGGAAGGCTTCCAGCAGCTTATTTCTGCATTCTACAACATTTGCATTATTATCCTAAACCAAGGTGTTCTGGGAAGGCGGGCTTGAAAGTGTTCATCTCTGCCAGTTCTGCAAGCTACTCTTCCAGAACATCCAACATCTCAGGACTCATCTGGAAATCAGGCCTTGCAAAAAAATAGGCTGCTCAGAGCCAACAGCTTTTTCTCCCAACAGCAACAACTTCTCCTGCTTTCCTCCACTAAGCCAAAAGCGCAACTGCTCGTGTGATGCACCAACAAGATTCCAGTTCATGAGTGTTTGATCTCAGGTTTCATAATTCTACACCATCATTACTATACTTCTTGGTCTGTATCTACAAATGGACTATGAGAATTGCAAGTAAAAATGCACAATACTCTATCAAGCTCAGACTCAGTAAAAACAATTCTCATCATATTTAGTATACAAATGATTTTTATGAAAGCAGTTGTTCTTATGTTGGAAATAAGGGCTCCAACAACTCATTATGGGTGATTCACAACACCAGTGATTTTGCTTAAATTAGTCCAAAATGGATAGTAGCACAAGTGTGTGTGCTTAATTCTTTTCCTATTGAAGTTTTTCCAACCTATGTCAAATCCATGTGGGCAAAACCAGTAGTAAGGATGGATGGAGGCTTTCAAAAAATGGAAAGGGGGTTAAACATTGAAGGTATCTTTCACACTAGACCATTGTAGCACCATTACAGCATTTTACAATATCCTGGAATTTGCAGTATGGCAAGGCTCTAAAGCTCTCTGGTAGACATTCTCAAGGAACTGCAAATCCCAGAAGTCTGTAAGATGGAGCCGTGGCAACTAAAGTGGGATCAGAATATCATAATGTTGCATGAAAAAGACTATAATCCCCATTTGGCTACAGTTGCTTATAAGTGAAAACTAAATTGGGGGTGGATCTTGGATTTTCCGTTAGGTGTATTTTTTGTTGTTCCCTAGTGAACACGGAAGTAACTGGCGATCACTGCAGCTGTTGTTTGAATGTATCCCAAAGTAGGCAAATGTGGGGGGCCAAGGGGCCTGTGCCCTCCCCAACAAGAACTCAATAAAACTTTCCCCCATGCAATTTTGAAACATGCAGGATTACTAAAACTATATTCATTACATGTAAATATAGAAGAGCTCCAGTTGACTTGAGAAGCAAAATTGGGTCTACCTCTTCCTTGCCTCACTAACTTCTCAAACTTACATTTACTACACCTGTGATGGACACAATTTACAGCAATTCCAAAGTAATTTGTGGTACAAAAGTTTAGTTTGCAGTGTTATTGACATTCACTCCAGATCAAACTCATGATACATGGAAATTCAGATATACAAGAATAGAATCCTTAAAAAGCTCAAATTTCTGCTAAAGACTGAAATGTATGTAATATTTAATCATTATTTAAAGACTTCATGTTTTCAACATAATAGAAAGGAGAATTAAATGCTCAGGAGCTGTTTGCACAGGTGGTTCTCCAAACTGGCAGACATACGAATTTAAAAGTTTGCCTCAGCACATGGGTGTTCAGTATTATAAAATGTATGGTTTCAGTAAATCTCAAGTGTATTTTTGGAATCAAAGGAAATCAAGACTGATTAGCTAAAACCAAAAGATATGGGACTCAATTTCTTATCTTTTTTTAAAAAAAACAAACAAACAAAAAACAGCTGCACAGATTCTCACCCTGAAAATATTGAAGACTAGTAAAACTCTATTTTTGTACAGATATGGCTTTATTAATATATTCAAGAAAATCTACCTAAGGGCTTGATCCACAACTCAGCTACATTATACCAGCGACCACAGAATAGCAAACTCCATCTTTCCTTGGATTTTGGGACACAGAGGCACACAGGACAACCGTTTGTTGAACAGCTGCTCATTTGGGCGTAACAGAGCAAGACAGTGGCTGCTGCAATAAGACCCATTGATAAAAGCAGCTGTGTAGTGTCCAGATCCTGAAATAAATCTAGATGTTCACAGAAGTGCAGTGGATTGCACCTTAATAGCACTTTAAATTGTAAAATAAACCATGTATTTACTTTTTTGCATTTATATTATGTAACTAGAATCCCTAAATGTATTTTCATCAGAAGCACTTATTTAATAAACATTTTCTGTATGTTACCTCTTTGTCACTTTTTGTATGCTAACAGGCGCTTACATACATTTAATAACATAACTCTGCCTTCAGAGTTCTGTAAAATTCAGTCAACTAAAAAAAAGGTGATCTCAGCTGGTGCATCACCATTATGTAATAAATAGTGCAATTCAATGTTTCTGCTCTGGGAAAAAAGATCCTGAGAGTAGGCTCCGCTGAATTCAGTGGAAATTACATCTGGGTTCCAGGTGCCATAGGCTATATTTCAGAGGAAGGAACTGACAAAAGCACCTCTGAGTATTCCTCACATAAGAAACCCACAGAACATCCATGGAGTCGCCAGGCAGCAGGAAGGCACATACATTCGTGTTTCAGATTGCATGGTAAAGCTACAACTGTAAGCACAGTTGCTATAGTGTTAAGGCCAGTTAAACACAGTGGGATTCATTTTGGATTAAGCAACTATAGCTCCCACAACTGAAGAATTACCAAAACAGGCAACTTGTAGCCCTCCATGTGATGCTGAGAGGCAACTGCCATTAGCCCCAATGATGAATGGCACTGGTCACAACACAGCCACAGGTCCACAAGTTACACATTCCTACCAGAAGACTTACCACCACTCTGTTTGTTTCTGCCTCAATCCATGTATCGCTAAATAACTATGACTCCTCTCAAGGCTCAGCACATCTTTCCCATTTGCTCACATCAAGGCTGTTGGTGTTGTGCACCTTCAAGTTGTTTCTGACATACGCAGCACTAAGGGTGAACCTAACATGGAGTATTCCTGGCAAGATTTGTTCAGAAAAACTTTGCCTTTGCCTTCCTCTTAGGCTGACCAAGATCACCCAGTTAAGTTTCCATTGCTAAGCAGAGATTTAAACTTGGGGTTTGAAGTTTGGTCTCTAGAGCTGTTCTCCAACGCTTAAATTCTTACACTGTGACATGTTGACTATCCTCTAGCTTCTAGCAATCTATTGTCTGTTTTGTTATGGCACTGAATGAATGTTTGCCACTTTTGATGGAAACCGCTCTGAGTCCTCTTGGGGAGATAGGGCAGGTTATAAATAAAGTTTTATTATTATCCCCCACAAGTAGGATCTATACCTATCTGAATCAAGTCTGAACCAAAGTAAGACCAGATTTGGGGCTGCTAGTGGTGCAGCAGGTTAAACTGCTGAGCTGCTGAACTTGCTGACCCGCAGGTTGGAGGTTCGAATCTGGGGAATGGGGTGAGCTCCTGCTGTTAGCCCCAGCTTCTACCAACCTAGCAGTTCAAAAGCCTGCAAATATGAGTAGATCAATAGGCACAATTTCTGCAGGAAGGTAACCATGCTCCATGCAGTCACACTGGCCACATGATCTAGGAGGTGTCTACAGGCAATGCTGGCTCTTGGGCTTAGAAATGGAGATGAGCACCACCCCAGTTGGACATGACTAGACTTAATGTCAGGGGAAACCTTTACCTTTAAGTCTGTATTTAACTGACCTTAACATAATAACTGCTTATAGTAGTAGCTTCACATACAATCTAAAGGTGTTGGTGCTCATAAACACCATTACCCTGCATTGGGGAGAGGGGCAAACAGGGTTTTAATGGACTTAGGAAATAGTTTCCAAGCAAAAGTACATCAACAGAATTGGGACCACATTGCATTCCTAAAGCAGGAATGAGTAAAATGCCCTCTGGAGCCACATGCAACTGCTCAACTTTTGTGGCCCATCAAGGCTCAACAAGGAATTTTGTTCCAAAATGGCACCAAATGGTTTCTAAAAGGGTTGGAAAACATTGCTACCATGCCTGAAGCTCTCTTAGAACTAGAAGTCAAATAAATCTTTGCAAACTAAAAATTCCAAGTAAGTTTACTTCTAAATTATTTAAAATAACATCTATGGGTCCAGGAAGACTCAAAGTATAATGTAAATGTTCCCATGTTTCCTAGAGAAAATATGGAGGCATAAAATATTTTTCAGAAACAGGGGAGTGAATATAGCTGTCCCCAGTCTCCTGGAGGTCTAATCAGCTACCTAGGCTCCAATAGTTGCCCGGTCCTATTGTAAAGATTAATGAATTCTATACTATGTTGGAAGGAAGAATTTTCTTTTGTCCAATTCATTACACGAGGACTACTATAGAATGCAAATCATTTTAAACATATCTTTTTAAAAGTAGGTCATGAAGATTCAAAACTCATTATCACATGTTGTCGGAAGTGATCTTATGCATAGCATATTATTGATTTATTTTATTCATTTACTATATTTATTACCCACCCTTCTAGCCCTGAAGGGGACTCAGAGTGGCTTACAAAGTGGCAATAATTCAATTCACATGATACTTCTCAGTAGCACTAAATTAAGATTATTTTGCATTTTATTTATGGAAAATTGAATTGGTTTCACTATCAAACTAATCACTATGCCTTTTTATACCTCTACTCTGCACAGTGAAAAAGGACATGTGGAATGGGTATTCATGAACTGCATTCCAGAACACAGACAACTGCAAGAGAGATCAGACCATTCCACATAATACAACAGTGAAACATACCTATAAATAATATGTATAAAACATACTTTTCTACTGATTTGTTAGCCTGCTCGCGCTTTCTCTCTTTCTTTCACTCTATATATACCCAAAATTCTAATTTGTCAACAATACTGTCACACTCAGTATAACAGAGCAGTTATAGAATCCACACAAAAAGTATCTAAAGGAGTATTCTGCTCAGTTTAAATCCCTGCTCAGCCATGGAAACCCACTGAGTGATCTTAGGCAAGTCACTCTCTCTCAACCACAGAGAAGGGCAATGGTAAATTCCCTCTTGTCAAGAAAACCATGTGGCAGATGACTTGAATGTACACAATGACTTCAATGTATAAAACGAGCATTGCAAATAGCTTTTGCTTTGATGAGATCATAAAACAAAAAGAAAGTGGAAAAATCTGACTCACAACAAAAGGGTATATAGGTTTTATATAACACAATTTCCATGAGAAAAAAACTTGTATAATACAAAAAAAACTGAGTTTTTGTGCTTCCAGCATTGCTTTACCAGTCACTGATTAGAAAATGCACCTTATTTGCATCACTGGGCAATTACCGGTGCAAAGGAAGTACAGTGTGCTGGCTACTGCGGTACGTACCATGTAGTAGCACTTAAGTGAAATTATAATTTCATCAAGAACTGAGACTTTTGGTTCTACAGGCTGTATTACTATCTGCAATTTAAGCAGATAACTTGGCTGTGGCCACACACAAAAACTACTGCCAGAATCCCCTTGGGCTGTCATCAGAAGTGGACTTCCCTCTGCAGAAATCAAAATTGCTCAGCTGCATAACATCCATATCAAATAATGGGACAGTGTCCCATTACAAACCCTCCCAATTCAATAAATGGGTGTCTTGGTTCCTCAGTTATGAAGTTACATTTCAAAACAGGTAATTTAGGATTCTTGCAATTATTTTTAGATGCTTTTTTGTGTGTCAGCCCATACACAAATTTTTAGAATATATGGATTTTCAGATCATTCCATTCACTTTTTTCGCAAGTCTACTGTTATATACAAGAATTATGTAAAAAGAGTCTTTCTGTACAGCACAGGTTTGCTCTTTGTGCGCAGCAACAGATTTTTTTTTGCTTTGGCTAGATTTTGCTTTAACATATTCAAGTGTACACTTTACTTTTTCCCTGGGGAAGACAATTTTGGCTGGCTTGTGCCTTCATATTACTTCAATTAGGCATTCACTCCACAGTGAGATCACCAAGGTCTCTTTTTCTGCATCTGAAGACAGACTCAGTTCATCCACACAGACAGCATCAGAATTCCAAATTTGCTTCAGTGCATCCATATGGGAAAGGGGAAACCGTAACCCGGACGACTTTATGTAAAAACAAAGAAAAAAAAAGAAAAAAGTTAGATCAAACTAAACAAATGTCAGACACGTTTTACAAACCACTTTATACACAGAACATTATATGCCTCACCCACTAACAATATTCCTGCACAGATAAACATTATACAACATAAGTATCTCATCATAACTCGCTACATACAGTTGCCCCCCATGCCATATCCATGGATGCTACTAGTCACAGCTTGAAGATAGTAAAAAAGTCCTAAAGGCAAATCTTGATTTTGCCATTTTATAAAAAAGATACAATTTTACTATTCCATTATATACAATGGGACTTGAGCATCCCAGGATTCTGAAATTCACAGGGAATCCTGGAACCAAATCCCAGCAGATACCAAGAGCCCACTTCACAACTGTTCTGATTCCAATTATGTTTACATTCTAAGAAAGCTCTTCCTGTAACAACAACAACAACAACAACAACAACAACTTTATTTTTATACCCCACCTCCATCTCCCCAAAAGGACTCAGGGTGGCTTACACATGGGACAAAATGTCCACAAAACATAAAAGCAAAACAATCAATTAAAACAAATAACACAATTAAATTAAAACATAGCAAAGCATATCAATCAGATAAAAACACAATTAAGTAAAACACAAGGGTATAAAACAACAGAATTAAGACTCACTCAAACAATACTTGACTAAACTCTGTAGTAAACTCTGCTGTTCATCATGGATTTGATGAGGGCCAACAAACGGCAACTTAATCCAGACAAGAGAGAGGTGGTCCTGATCAGAAGGCAGATCAATGCAATTCAGCCTGTGCTGGGTGGAGTTACGGCATACTCCTGGGATCTGAGTTTGGATGCCTAGGTTTTGGCTGTCTCCAGGAGTGCATTCCACACTGAGAATTAGTGTGCCACCTGCCTCCGTTATTTGAGAAATTCGATCTGCCTTCAGTGACACATGCCCCATTTGGACTAGTTTCCAAAAACATCGTACTGTCTTTGGAAACTATTCGGAAACTTCAGGGGGCACAAAATGCTGCAGCCAAACTGCTGACAGGCTGATTACAGGGATGTTCTTATGTTCAGGCAGCTTCATTGGCTACCAGTCTATTTCTGAACATAATTTGAAGTGCTGGCTTTAAAGACTTACACAGCTTGGGCAGACTATCAGACAGGCCACATCTCCTTATACTAACAGTTTTTTAGGGTATGAAAGGGATAGCTTTCTCACAGTGCCATCACCTTCACACTATCCCCATAGTACATGGTATATCAGCCGCAGGTAAAACTGAAGCCAAAGTCATCTTGTAGATACATAAGCTACTACTAGTGCAGGACGATCCAGAAACCATTTGTTACATTGCTTACTCCAAATATTTCCCTGCCATCTAGGAAAATAAGAATCCCTGGATATATACATTTAGAGGAATCAAAGTAACTATGTTAGCATCTTGTTAATGACACATGCAGGTATAACAACATGTGATTTCAAAATGCTGGACTGTACTTCAGAAAAACATTCACTACTCCCTTTACACAACCAAAACCATTACAGGATTCACTTTTCTCTAGTGCATGCATATTCCACCCTGCTGCCATTTAGTGGCCTGCAGAAAGTGACGAGAGTTGGGAGATGAATATGGTTATTTACTTGTAACCAGTGGCATTATGGAAAAGATATTGCCTCAGCAACTCCTTGGATTCCAAGAGCAAACACTGTGCACCTGGTTATAGGCACATGACCAGATAATTTTCTTATGCCTCACTACTCTCGACTATCCAGGATACAAGAGGAAGATGAAGCCCATGGAAGGGAGAAGGAAAGCGTATCATTTTTCAGTGGAACTTCATGATACATCACCTTATAAAAGATTTCTCAGCCTGAGTTTGATTTAGTAGGAATCATAATTATATTCAGTAGTCGAGCGACCTACTGAACACAAATCTAAGCATGCTAAATCTAAGTATATTCAAAGAGTTCATTAAGTAGGTTTAGGGTTGCAGCCTAAGCATTTTTAGCTGTTTGGGAAACAGCTAATGTACTATTAACTACTATCTGCCCTAATCAGCATACCCAATAGACAGAGGTGACAGAAACTGTAATCCAGAAACACATGAAGGGTGTCGCTTAGCTTTGTTCTGTAGAACTCTGCTTTTAATGTTGTGCTATTGCTAGTGGTACAAACAAGTTTTGTGTACAGAGACCATCATCTATAGGCCTTTCCATTTATAAGTAAGTAAAAAAATCCAACTGAATCCACATTTCCACTTTGAAGAGCGCACTATCTTAATACTAGCTATGTGCCTAGGAGAAGTTATCTTTTCAATATTTCTATTGCACTAATTCACATTGCATTCCCATTTTGAAAGATAAATGGAATGTGAAAAATAATAACTAACTGCAATGAAACATTTAAAACAATGCAACTAGTTCAAATACTTCATAGTTTCACTTCTCATCTCAATGCTAGAAGCAAGGACAATGCCTCTGTGTTCCAATGGACAATCCACAGTCCACTGTGTAATACGCACATTCTTTCTCTCAAGCATATAGGAAAAAGACTGATTCCTTATCAGAATGAACAAGAGTATATTTATTAAAAAGAAATATCTCAGTTCACTGTATTCATTACAGTATTACAATATTCTTGCTGTACGGCAGCCTCTTAATAAGACTTTTAAAAATATTACTTTATTTATATTCCACCCTATCTCCCCAAGGAGACTCAGGGCAGATTCCAACATACAAAAAAGGCAAACATTCAATGCCTCTATACAGCAACAAATACAAACATAATAGCCCAAAGTAACCCAACATATAAAACAATTTATAACATGACATCTTTAGATCAAATAAAATGTAATCAATCAAAAATTATATCTAATATAAAACCTGAACATAAAACATCAGCATTAATTGACAGGAGTCATCTTCCCATCCATGAATGCTTCATTGGAGGGGAGGGGGGGGGGGGAGAGAGCTGTAGTCCAATTGGCAGCACTAGTAAAAAAACTAAAATAAAGAGCCATTGGGATATCTAGAAATTAAAACACAGCCTTGTGGTCTATGAGCAACAGTCAGGTTTGTACAATGATTTCCTTTAACAAAGCAAGGAGGTTCTGTTGTAAGAGCAAAGTGGAAATTCTCAAGTAAACAAGCCAACCCCACATGATGTCTGTTCTACAATACACTTCACACAACATGCAGTGACACATATTTCTTTGGAAAATACTCTGGAAGAGCCACAGCATAAGCATTTCATCACAAAACTGAAAAGGAGATCTGTTATGTTACAGCCAGCGGATCTAAGGTCGGCAGGGCAGTGAATCTGCTGTGGATCTTACTCCAAATTTCAGAACAGCTGTGCAAGGCACTGAAACTATTTTGAAGTTCAACACACTGAAGAGCTCCTTTAAAGTTTGGACTAATATCCCACCTGCACTGACTTCAGAGCCATCACCTGCCACTGCTAATACACTACATACAGCAGCCTCAGCTGTTAGCTATGACAGGTAACAAGAACTTCTCAGGCTGGAGGTAATAACAACTGCTGCAACGAAACACGGTGGGGGTGCTGCTATAAACTCGGTGGTCCTTCTACAATAGGAAAGAGAATGGGCTCCAAATGCTATGGGAGTACAATTCTCCATAATCTGCACCATTTACTATGCTGCCTAGGGCTCTGTGTGTGCGTACGCGCAATCCATTGACATTTGGACATCTAAATTATTCCCACCATGAATTAGAAGCATCTGGCTAGCCACTGCAAAACACTGGATACTGAACTAGATGACTCCTGATGTGATCTGGCAAAAACCTCATAAAACTAAAACCGTAAAAAGGTAAGTAATAAAAAAATGTTGTTGTTACTGGCAGCGAGTAGCTTTAAGAAACATAACAGAAGATGGCAGCATGACAAAAATGATGTTGAGAATGAAGAGAAAAACAGTTTGCATGAAATAACTCAGTTATTAAAATGTTGAGGAACTTGAGGGTAAACAATGCCGCTAAACTGATCAAATGTACAAATGAGAAACTAACCTCCACAATTCCTTCCTCATCAGTATTCTCTTCTCCCATCATATGGGTTTCCCTCTTGTTCTTTAAGCAGTGATACACCAACACCATTTCTTTAAGTGAATTATTCTGAGGAAAAGAAAAAGACATTCAGCTTTGTGTGCTATCTATCAGCCAACCTGAAAAAGTTTCAGCACAAAACAATACCTCTCCATCAGAAACAGACAACTCCAGAATCCTCGCAATGTATCCCATTTTAGCTCATTTTGTTTGGTTTGTCTCTTTTCAAAATAACATAAAACTCCTTCATTAAACACCAGAATATGGTGTTATTTCTATACAAGTTTAATAAAAATTAACCAAGCCTAGTTTTTCAAGTACAATAATTCTTTTTCTGTTCAGAGAAGAGCAACATTATTACTATAATGTCATGATCAATCCCAGTCACATGCTGTGAGATACAAGTAAGCAGACTAAAAATAGGATGCAGGCAATGTTACAACACAGAAAGTTCCAATAAAAAGTAAGTGTCCACAGGCACTTCCCTCTGTACTCACCAAATGGTCTTGTTCTGGTTCCACTGTAATTACTGTACAGTCTTTAAAACGTAATCTGACTGTGCTACTCAACTTTGGTAGTGGTCCACCTAAACAGGGAAAGATACATCACTGTGAAAGGGGCAGCCCATCTTTAATGCTTTTGTCTCTCAACTAAGAAATGTTGCAGGAATCAGTATCTGAAACAGGGACCAATCTTTTAGGGGGGAAAGTGCCACTTTCCCAATTTAAGATGTCAACGGAAATCTGAAAATCACACACTAAGGAGAAGAATTCTGCATAAATGTCATATCAGCTCGGGATATCTAACTCATTAACTAGACACTACATCCCCTATGGCATGGCAAACGGTTTCTGTGTAACTAATAAATACATTATTTTATGCAACACCCACAGTAAATTGAAATGTTACCGGAAGTCAAAGGGTCAAATGCAGGCCCCAGAAAAGGAGGTAATCTGTTCATAATAAAATCTTTTTTCATATCAGATGATTTCAGTTCCTTGCCGTTTTCTTCTAGACGGTCTGCAAGGCATCTCAGAAAGCCACTTAATTGCCTTGATGAATCAGACAAATCTACCTTCTAAACACAAGAAACAACAAGAATGTATGTTTACAAGAACCTAGTTTACTTGAGAAGGCAATCCAAAATTCTTCAGGCATTACAAATGCTGTTTCCAATCTAATGGGTGGAGGCAAAATTTTAAGAGGGGATTATTTCAGTCATGAGCAAGAGTTCTTTATGAAATCTTGCCACAGGATGGGAAAATAAAACTAGTCAAGTTATGTAGTTCCAATGCCAAAATACACCACACTAATTTGGGTTTTGTTTTAATTAATTATTTTAATTATTTAGCTTTTATATATGTTTATCTATCTCTATATGTTTATCTATCTCTAACCCAACATTTAGAACACTAGCTCTAGTATCTCCCAAGTCAAGTCTTGTCTACATTTACTCTAAGAAATTGTAGGCAGTCCCTGAGTAACAAACATTTGGCTTACAAAAAACTCATAGAGACAACAGGAAGCGAGAGAAATTTACCCCTAGGAAGGGAAATTCACTCCTGAAAGACTTATCATAGAGAAAAGGTGTTTCTGCTGAAGCTTTATGATCAATCTTTGTTTCCACAATTTTTTCAAAGTCCAATTATTACAGGGACAGAAAGTGAGGAGAAAACTTCTGAACAGAGTTACAGACAGCAAAACGAACACCACAGGGGTGTTAACCCTTCCCTATGCTTTCCAAAGTTTTTTAATACATATATACATATGTGTGTGTGTGTGTATGGCTGGAGTTACACTTTAAAAATGGACCTGTCCCAACTTACATACAAATTCAACTTAAGAACAAATCTACAGAACTTATCTTGTTTGTAACTTTGGAACTACCTATATAATTCACATCGTATTCAATTTTATTGTGTTTTTTCTTGGGATTGACTCTGACTTCCATTTAAAAGAGTCCTTTATATTTTATGAGCCTATGATCAAGCATGAAAAAAGTTTTGCCAATGGAGAAAAATGTGGGAACACTTCAAAACCTGGAAGAGCACAGTCATGGGTCATTTAAGAACCACACAATGTACAAAAATTACTACTAAAGACAAAGCTGGCATCCCTTCCAAATTACCATTTTGGAACTACCAGGGGACACTTACAGATGTACTCAATGCTTAAAACCAAGACTATTAAAAACTTTTCTTCTTGGAGCAGCTGCATAGTATTGTGTTAGTTTTTGTTAGTGCCGCATCATTACCATCAATAATTGCCTTGGAATGCTTTTCCGAAACTCTATGTCTTCTTTTGCCATATCCAAAATAAGCCCAGGAACTACATCCAAGAAGAAATCTCTCCAAGAGCTGGCAGGCAGAAGACAAATCAAAGCCATTAATGAAAATTAAGTCTGGAATAACATTTCTTGCTGAAATAAAAATTAGCTTTCAGGGTGCAGCCAAGTATTTACCTAGCTAGCAAAACATCCTGCCTTCAATGCTATCTAATCCAAATATATTTTAACTAAAAAAAGCTTTTGGGCAATTGAACCATGTAGTATGTGTAATCATATCACAGATTACTCCCAGCAGTCTAATATTTTAAGCAGATCCTCAGAAAATCTTATCTATATCCAAAAACTAAGTTTGCAATAAAGTAAAGGTCTGGCTTGCTTTAAAGAAACAGTACAGTATTCTCTATCAGCTATAGCTACAACGTCATCTTCAAGGGCAGCCCATGTAGAAGCACTGCATAAGGAATTAAATCTGGAAGTTGTAAAAACAATGATCAGCATGATAAAATCCTGCTTCTCCAAGAAAAGGAGCAGCCTACACAGCACCTTTCTCCTAAAGATCATAGCAACCTGCTCCCAAAAAGGGTAGCACACAAGGTGACAATTAAGGCTGCAAAGTATCTATACAAATCATCCATGATATTTAAATCATCTGGAAAGGAGAAAAAAACATGCTCTTGGCCTATTCCAATGACCGGACACTTAACATGAGCCAGGATGATGTAGTGGTCTGAATATTTGACCAGGTGTCTAGACGACCGGGGTTCAAATTCCTGCTCAACCATGGAAACCCACTGAGAGAGTTTGGACAAATCACACTCTTCAGATTCAGAGGAAGGTAACAACAAAGTTCTTCTGAACCAATTTTTCTGATAAAACCCAATGATAGGGGTCTTGTAATATAGAGAACCAATATAGAGATAAAGTCCAATGATAGAGACCTTGTAAATCAGAAACAACTTGAAGGCATACAACAACAGCCACAAGACTTAAGCCTGTTTCACTTAAGGCGAAATATTTTAGCTTGCAGATTCATTCAGTTCAGAGTTAATGGCAAGATAGCTAAAACATAAGGCAGGATGCTTACTGGTTCTGATAGGTGCTGATAGTCACATGGGTAGAATGAGATATACCAGGAGGTGTGGCAGCTTGATGAATAGTCCCTCTTGGAAAATATAACAAGTCTCCTGGCTGGAGAAAAAAATGTTGTAAAAGTTAAGCGCTAGGCTGGCATGCTTACAAATGTGCAAACAATTATGTTTCCAAATGTTTCCATGTTTCTATGCAGAAATGTGCATAACTAAAGCAGGTATTTTCTTAATCCGAAAGTATATTGTTTAAATAATATAGTAGAACATATTACTGTACCTTTAATATGAAGTTGTGTGTTGGAGCCCCAATTTTGTCCTCAGGTTCAGCACTGTATTGTTGAGCTAGAGGTATAGTGGGCTTATATAGCCTCCAGTGCTTCTCTCCTTCAAGCTGCAAGATAAACACCTGCAAGGAACATAGTAAGCGTCAGAATGCCTCACATTTCAACAAATCATCACTTATTCTTACACAGACGTAAATAACAGCTTAATTTCAATTAACCGTTCTCCTTGTAACACAGGCGGTACAATTCAATGCCCGTAACCTGTGGGAATATCCCCGCAGTTTCACCTATCCACTTATGATAAAATATGTCCTCTCTAAGAATTTGGTAAGTCCTCCAGGCGATTGCTATGGAATGCTTCTGTTGGAAGTTATGATAAGAGGTATTCTGGAGGAGCTACCAAATTTCTAGAGAGGATACCTTTCTAAAATTTTACTAGGCCTTCCAGGATGACTCTTGTTAACTTCCAGTGGAAATTGTTTATGTCAATAGCGTTCATTACTTTCCACTGTTTCCCTCTTCAAGTTATCAAATTGATGTAAAGAACTACTCCTGCTTCCCCAACCCAGCCTTACATTTCTCATGTGTGTCCTCCTCTCCCTGTCCCCAGCCACAGTCATTTAGTGGCTGAGGTTCAGGAGAAAGCAGCCGAAGACAAGCATTGATTATATAATGATGCATGAGAATCTTCCAGGATACATCTTTCCGGAATTACTGGAATCCTCGAGAGCAGAGTTTCTCAAACTGTGCTCTTCCTGATGTTTTGGACTTCAGCTCCCATAATTCCTAACAGCTAGTAAACTGGCTGGGTTTTCTGAGAGCTGTAGTCCAAAACACATGGAGCTGTTTGAGAAACACTGCTCCAGAGAATGACATCATCACCCTGTGCCATTTATCAAAACACATCTGATAATGATTGTCAGCTGTCCTCACCCCAGTTATATGAGTCTATACTGCCACATAATCCAACTGAAAGCAGATAATCTAGATTTCATAAGGCCCTAGAAAACTGTATGGTTACCCAAAACTTTGGTGCAGTGGTAGAACACAGATTAATTTATTTGTTTCCCTGCTGGGATGAATAATTTAAACAAGCACGCTCATATAGTGAGTGCTATTCCTAAAAAGGATAGTCAGCGTGGCATAGTAGTCTGAGCATCGGATCAGGACTCTGAAGACCAAGGCTCAAATCTTCACTCAACCATGGAAACCCACTGAGTGATTTTGGGAAAATCACATTCTCCCTCAGAGAAAACAAAAAGGCATACCCCCTTTGAACAAATATGGCCAAGATAACCCCATTAGAGTTACCATAAGTGAAAAATGCCTCGAAGGCAAACAACAACAAACTCCTGAAAAGACTCATGACTATGAATTTTTGGAGAGTGTTCTTACCTCAACATCATCATAGTGTGGAGGCAGGCCTTGGGACCCTGGAGGAGTTATGTAAATATTAGATCCGACCAATGAGCCAAAGAAGCATTCTAATTTCTCCTGGATTTTCCAGAGCTCATTCTTTAAAATAGGATAGGAGGGCAACAGAGAGAGTTAGTTAGTATGCCAAGGCAGCTGTCCTTTCTCTTCCCAGTTCCTCCCCCCATCATGTTTACATGCTACTCTTCCAAATACACAACTCAACCTAAATAGGCTATCTCGATGACCTACATAAGAGTCAAATGATTAAAAGTGTAATATTCACTAAGGGAAAAATGACTGCTGCTGCCCTTGTATATGCAGTTTTTGTACTATGTGAAATCATGTCAGCAAACTAGGCTCCAAGTAGACAAAAAAAAAACAACAACAACAGAGCTCAAAAGGTGTCAATTTGTCTCCTTCTTCAAATCAGCTGAAATCTAGCATCAGCAATTTCAAATCTATATAACCATACCCTAAACTGCCATGGTCTGCAATCCCCAAACTAATTTCAAATAGGTTCTTGTGGGTTTTTTCGGGCTATAGAGCCATGTTCTAGAGGCATTTCTCCTGACGTTTCGCCTGCATCTATGGCAAGCATCCTCAGAGGTTGTGAGGATGCTTGCCATAGATGCAGGCGAAACGTCAGGAGAAATGCCTCTAGAACATGGCTCTATATCCCGAAAAAACCCACAAGAACCTAGTGATTCCAGCCATGAAAGACTTCGACAATACATTAATTTCAAATAGATGATGCTAATCACATTTCCCCCCACAAAATTCTGTATAATGCAGACCAATCCCTAGTACCATTATTTGAAAGACAGGAAGCAGCTGCACAGAAAATAGGACTGATACAAAGACATGATAGAAAAACCAAGCAATCTATGACTTCTCACTCATTTTTGAAATGTCCCTGGGCATCTTTCAATCCAGGCCAGCAACCGTTGTATGTAGTATTAAACCCAGACAGAGAGTAGGCACGTGCAATTCCACAGCCTGTTCCCCAAATCCTTTTAATTGTATGTCTGGGTCAATCCAAGCTTACAATGGCAAAAGCAACCACAAGCTACAGAAAACCACCAGATCCTACCTTAAATCTCTGAGGCTGATGAAATTGTATTGTCGCCTTTTTCTGATCGAAATCCTTCTTCAGCTGTGCATAGCTGACTTTGCCATCCTTGTTAAAAACCTTCTTTTTCCCATTAATACTCTTGCAGACGTTAATGTCCTTTCCATAATATAAACCATGCTTGACTATGCCTTCAAAGTCAGTTAACTGAAACAGTGACGAATAGTAAGATGCCACAGTAGGGTCATCTCTATGAAGTACCAATGGCTTTTTCTCCCAGTACTCTCTAAAAAATTCATCTTGCTTGATAGGTGAAATCAAACCTTCAAATACATTCTGTGGATGGTCATATTTCCAAAGCGCAAGGCTAGCAGTTTCAACTTTGGCTTGTTTGCATGGTAAATGTTGTTCCTTCTCAGTTCCAGATCGTCTCTCTAATTTCTTAGGCATAATCCTGTGTAAATAAGAAAAGAAATTAAAAGTGTCATTCCATGCATGTTTGCAAAAAAAAAAAAATCCCCACCCAAGTTTATTTAGACTTATTCTTCTATATGTAGATCTACATTTGTAATATCCCATTGATGCCAGTGACCTTTACATCTGTAAATCTGTTTAAGATCTTGACGCATGATAGCAATATACAGCTTTAGTATCCATCATCCAAAATGTTTGGAACCAGAAGTGTTTTGGATTTTTTCAGATCTTGGAATACTTCTATTTGTATTTATTTTCATAAATGAGTTATCCTGGAGCTGGGACTATCCTGGAGTCTAAATAAAAATTTCATTTATGTCATATAGACACCTGAAACATGTAGCTTGGAGGAAATTTTATAAATGAACTTTAATATTATTGTGCATGAAATAAAGTATGTGTGCATTGAACCATCAGAAAGCAAAGGTGCTATTATCTCAGCCACCCATGTGGGCAAATTTGGAGTGTTTTAGCACAGCTGGTGAATCACTACCAGCAATAGATCTTTTCCAACTGAAAGGTTGGAAGTTCGAGCCTAGGTCAGGGTGAGCACCCAACCTTCAGCCTAGCTTACTGTCCACCAAAGAAGTTCAGAAACAGCTGTGAGCGGTGACTAGAGAAATTAGGCACCGTTTAAGCAGGGAAGTATTTTACGGCACCATAAAAAAGCTGGTGATCAAAGAATAGGACAGTCTGTGGTCAAAAGGCTCATCATCATAGAGGATGGAGTGACAGCACCCCCTGTGGCCAGAATCGAGCATAACCTCCAGGATGCAGAAGTTGGAAAAAGGCTGACACATGCCTCTGTCTGTCCTGTATGTCTAACAGCATTGAATGTTTCCTATGTATGTGTTCTGTGATCTGCCCTGAGTCCCCTTTGGGGTGAGAAGGGTGGAATATAAATGCTATAAATAATAATAATAATAATAATAATAATAATAATAATAATAATATTTTTGCATTCCAGATTACTGATTCTCAACCTGTACTAAAGCTGCATTCCTACACATAACTGTAGTGTTAAGTGTTAGATTGGGACTTGGCCCATGGAACTGGTCTCAAACCAATGATCTATCTGACAGAGCTGTTCTGAGAATCAAGAGGAGATAAGACTCATGGGTTCACTACCAATTTAAGCCTGGTAGAAGAAAAGTGGGATTCAAAAATTGATCAAAACACTTTAAGGAAGTTAAGTGCTATTCAGTTCAGTGAGAATTAGATCCTGCCTGGCCTTGGAAGCTAAGAAGGGTTAGCTCTGGTTATTACTTGGGTAGAAGTACCAGGTGCTACATGCGACATTTCTGAGGAATAAATGGGCAAAACTACTTCTGAGAATTCCTTGACTAGCAAAACCCTATGAAAAATTAATGAGGTCACCATAAGTTAACAGGCCCCTTGAAGACACATACATACACTCACACAAAACAGGGTCAGAGTGCACAGCTGCATCAATGGGCCATCAAAAATGAATGTCTGTGGCTGAAGTGCAAGCCCACTTTACTAGTTAAACCAGACTTATCTCAGCTGAAGTAATTAGAAGTAACAGAGATGGCAGGGAGCAAAAATGAAAATCTCAGAGAAGGGCATATTCCCCTCCAATCATTCCCCTGAGCAAAAAAGGATACTGAATGTTGATACATCACGAAGTGTCCATGCCTTAAGGGGGTTACCACTGCTTGAATTACTCCCTCCTAATACCTTTTTTGGCTACAGACTCACAGCTTGCCTTCTAGGTTTTGCAGGATTTGGAGGAAAGTGAGTCTCATCTCAACAGATGAGGGTCACCTCAGATCTTCAAGCCTCCATTATCTGATTGCATGCATGTTCGTTTTAAGATAAAGCTTTTAAAATGTTGTTTCGTTTGGGTTCCTGAGATCCCATGACATTTTCTGTGACAATGCTTATTGCCTGATGTCCTCAATCCACCTTCCCATTCTCTCTGACTGCCTGGTTTCAGCTTTAAAAGTGCCAGAAGAAAAAAACACCTCCTCTAAAAAAAATTGAGGTTTTTTTTTTAAAGACACTGCATACAATATAAAAAGGAGCACAAAGATGTGATGGGCACGTCACAATCATGCCATTTAACAACCAATGCAGCCCTCTGAGCAAGGAAGGTAATTCATAAAACATCAATGTTCTTTCCTGTCTGTAACATCTTAAACTAAATATTTTAATGGTTACCACTTTATGGCCCCCTGTGCTTAAAACTACTTAAGGGCTGCAGGAGCACAGGACTAACAAGAATAGGCAGATGCCTGACAAGAGAGAGACACAGAGAAAGAGCAAGGATTTGTTCTTCCCATCAATTTTAAAGTTGCCAGATCAAACACTGAAAAGGCAAAGGAAGCTTACACAGCATTTGGAAACTGGATGTTTCATGGTTGTCTAGTGACTATCAGTCTTTCCAGAAGCAATTATTCCTGGCTTTTTACAGTATTTTAATTATTCATTCAGTGTACTTATATCTCACCTGTCATACGATTAGGATAGACAGACATTTCCCTGACCAGACAAAGAACAACTATCTTGGAAGCTACAAACAGAAAAGTCTTTTTGCCAGAGACAAAGCAGTGGCGATGTCACATCTGAACTGAGATCCAAATTTGGGAACCAATAAATACAAAACCCATGCCTTTATACTGGTAGGGTAAATGCAGATATTGAAGGCCATGATATACATCTGAATGGAAATCCAAATCATCAGTGGGACGTGTGAACTACATCAAGTGATATCATTACAGGGAGTGAGACTAAAATGACTACCCATAAAATTGTTGTTTCAGCACAAAGGCTTTTTTTGTAATCGCTCTAATTAGATATAAACTCAAAAACATTTTTCATAGCCTGGCTTCAATGTGTTGTGTCAATATACCTACAAGACCAAAACTTCCAATGTGCAATGAACTCTGATCAGAGCTGTCATTATTACTAAATTACAATGACACTTCAAATCACATGATTGCACTTGCTATAAGTGCATACTATCGTTTTTTGCTGCTGGTGTTCTTGTTTTGCTTTTTTAATGATTGCTGGTTTTGTCAATTTTTCTTGTATTTTAAGTTACAATATTGTGGTTTGGTCTGAGACGGGAGGAGCTCCATGGAGGTGACTCTATGAGTTAGTATAGTGGATAGCATCGGTTCCCATGACTCTACTGTAAAGCTTAAGTGAATTGACTGCAAAATGTACAAAAAATTAAGAAGCTGGAACATCCTTGAAGAGATAAAGTTTTGCTTTCAAAATGCACAGCCCTGTGTCTTCAGGAACAGGATCATTGTGCCACCATCAAAACAAAGTTTTGCTGGCTGCATCTTTTCCTTTCCACCATACGCCAGATAACACAGACCTCTATGTATTATACTTGTGGGTGCTATTTGAAAAATACAATAACAATGTCATATTACACCTAATTCTTTAACAAATTTGGTATTTTTATCAATCTGGTTATTTGTTTTGCGTAAACGTGTGAATGTCAATATTCTGATGAAATTTCTTTATGTGCTTTTGAATTCATTTTGTGTTTCCTATCAGCAAATTGAAAATCTATTCTGAAGATTTTAGCTCCTTCTTGATCACTTTCAAAAGAAATTGTAATCACGTATTACTTCAGCACACTAGAGAAAAAATCCACTTAAAATCCAGTTTCTGCCTCCTGCAGAATTCTGGTGTTTGTAGTTTAGTGAGGCTGTTAAAGGCTCCTCCCTATACTACAAACCCCATAATTCTGCAGGAGGCAGCAAACGGATTTTAAGTGAATTTTTTTCTCTAGTGTGATGAGGCCCTTATTAAATTAAAGGTATTTAAAAGTCAGCGGGAACCTGAAGCAAATCTGGAATTATTGTTGAATTCAAAATGTCAAAAGGTAGAGATAAAGTATGAATACATTTTAATATTTGAAAGTCAAGTATTTTAATAGCATAAACAGTTTAGTTTGTAGATTTTTATATTTATATGTATTATTTTTCATTACTGTTAGCTGCTTCGAGTCCCCATAGCAAAAGAATTATGACCCTCCATTTTGCAGGCCTAGGTAATTTGGGGTCCCAAGAAGACCAGGAAAAAAGTACAATATTCTTCTCCCCAGTTTCTCTAGTGCAGGCATGGGCAAACTTCGACCTTCCAGGTGTTTTGGACTTCAACTCCCAGAATTCCTAACACTCGATAGGCTGTTAGGAATTGTGGAAGTTGAAGTCCAAACCACCTGGAGGGCCAAGGTTTGCCCATGCCTGCTCTAGTGCCATCCATTTGGGCATTAATGCAGTGCCAGGGCTCAATTCTGTGGAATAATAATAATAATAATAATAATAATAATAAACATTATTTGTATCCTGCCCTACAATTTCTAACAGTCTACCAGCTGTTAGGAATTGTGGGAGCTGAAGTCCAAAACATCTGGAGGGCTGAAGTTTGCCCATGCCTGCTCTAGTGTCATCCATCTGGGAAATAATGCACTACCAGAGCTCAATGCTGTAGAATAATAATAAATTTTATTTTTATCCTGCCCTATCTTCCCGATGGGAACTCAGGGCAGTTAACAACATATAACAGATATATTCAATGCCATATAATACAGTTGTGTAATACAAATCATGGGAGCTATAGGATGTATCTCCACCAGGCATGGGCTGTTAGGAATTGTAGGAGCTGAAGTCAAAAACAACTGGAGGGCCAAAGTTTGCCCAAGCCTGTGTAGTGCCATCCATCTGGGGATGTAGTACCAGGGCTCAATGCTGTAGAATAATAAACTTAATTTGCTTCCTGTCCTATCTCCCCAATATGGACTAAGGGCGGTTAACAAGATATAATGGCAATATTCAATGCGGTATAATACAGCTGTATAGTACAAATTATGCTATAGGATGCATCTACAACAGGTAGGCTGTTAGGAATTATAGGAGTTGAAAATCAAAACACCTGGAACCCATGCCTGCTGTACACTGTAGAAAAATTGAAGCAGGGCAGTTAACAACATATATCAGCAATATTCAGTGCTGTATAATACAGCTGTATAATACAAATTATGGGAGCTATAGGATGCATCTCCACCAGGCATGGACTGTTTGGAAGTTGAAGTCCGAAACACTTGGAGGGCTGAAGTTTGCCAGGCCTGATCTAAACTGTAAAATGAATGCAGTTTGCCATCACTTTAGCTTCCATGGCTCAGTGCCACAGAATGATGAGTTTCATCATTTGGTGAGGAACCTCTTTGGTCAAGATGGCTAAACACCATGTACAAAATCCCATAGCATTAAGCGGAGACCCCGATGAAGCAATGGGTTAAAACCTTGTGCCGGCAGGACTAATGACAGACAGGTCGGAGGTTCAAATCTGGGGAGAGTGTGGATGAGCTCCCTCTGTCAGCTCCAGCTCCCCATACAGGGACATGAGAGAAGCCGCACACAAGGATGGTAAAACATCAATCATCCAGGTGTCCCCTGTGCAACGACCTTGCAGACGGCCAGTTCTCACAGTTTCTCAAGACACTCCTGACACGAAAAGAAAAAATACCATTGGCCCATGGAAGTTCAAAGAGTAGTTGAACTGGTTTTAACAACACAGTGCAGATGCACTCTGAGTCTGTTTATTCAGCCTGTGTTTTTCAAACTTTCTTTGATATATCCTTAAGAAAGCAAATGTGGGGTTTCTAGGCTGTAGAATAGGCCTGTGCAAACTTTGGCCCTCCAGGTGTTTTGGACTCCAACTCCCACAATTCCTAAATTGTGGGAGTTGGAGTCCAAAACACCTGGAGGGCCAAAGTTTGCACATACCTACTCTAGAATTAGTTGTTTGGCACCACTTCTGCTGCCATGCCTCCTTTAGAGTCTTCGGCCTTCTCTGCCACAGAGGCCACGGCATGGAGCCATGGCTGTTCAAAGTGGTGTCAAACCGCATTAATACTACAGTGTGGGTGCCACCTTGGGAGCAGACACATCCTAGACACGTTCTCCTCACTCCTCCAGAGAAACCAGACTTCCTAAGACACGTTTCTCACGAGCAGAGCGTGACACGGGTCCAGAAGCCAAGCCCCAAATGTCCAGCGCTGCTGCTACTCCTTCCTTCCTTTCTCTCTCTCTCTGAATAACTCTAAGGGGCGCCTCGGCCTACCACAGGCCCTGAGGCGCTCTAGCATGCCATGCGACGCGCTTATACAGACCTGACGCCTGGGAGGGAGGACGGCGTGAGGAGAAAGAAAGGGAGGAAAAAAGGAAAGAGTGGTTTCCTGTCAGAAGGAACCTCCTCTTCCTTCTTTCCCTCCCTCCCTCCCTCCTTCCTTCCCCCAGCCCAGCCCTCTGCTATGGAGGCGACTTGTTGCTTTTGCCCGCCTCTGACGAAATGGAGGGCGAGGCTTGGGATGAGGAGGAGGCGTCCCCTCACTCTCGCCTTCCCCTCATGCAAAATACACTTGAGTTCACATAGAACTGCATTTCCCTATCATTTTTGCATCCTACTCTCGCCTTTCCCTCCTGGAAATAGGCTTCAACTAGAACTGCATTTCCCACAATTCCCTCCCCAAATGGGCTGTGATGGGAGATGTAGGCCAAACAAACACTCATCTCTAACTGTGCTCCATTCCTGCCTAAAGGTTTCCCACTGACAATAATTCCAGTTATGTCTGGCTCAAGAAATAGTTTTCTAAGATCTACAGAGACACTAGCTGGAACACCTCAGCAAGCGAGAGTCCAAAAGTGGCAGGCTCAAACCCAGAACCTCAATCAATGGCTGATACTAAATGAGAGACTCCCCCCCTGGGCACACAGAAAACTGAGCGACTTGGAAGGCGCTGAACAGACTGCGCTCTGGCACCAAGAGATGCAGAGCCAATCTTGAGAAATGGGGCTACAAAGTGGAATCCACGGCATGCGAGTGTGGAGAAGAGCAAACTACAGACCACCTGCTGCAATGCAACCTGAGCCCTGCTACATGCACAATGGAGGACCTTCTTGCAGCAACACCAGAGGCAGTCCCAAGTGGCCAGATACTAGTCAAAGGACATCTAATCAACTACCAAGCTTGCAAACTTTGTGTTCTGTTCTGTTTGTTTGTTTGTTTGTTAAAAATGCAATGTAACTGTTTGGTCTGCTCCTGACATGATAAATAAATAATGTCTGGCTCTGGGAGTTGGTGCTCATCTCCATTTCTAAGCTGAAGAGCCAGCGTTGTCTGCAGACACCTCCAAGGACATGTGGCTGGCATGACTGCATGGATCGTCATTACCTTCCTGCTCCCCGCAGGATCGCAAGACATCTAGGCATCCCCTGGGCAAAGTCTTCGTAGACGGCTGATTTTCTCACTCCAGAAGCGGCTTGCAGGCCTTACACCACTGGAGAAATTACACCACCTGACATCCACCGGGGAGTAGCAAGCAATAGTGAAAGGACCAAGGCAGTGACATCTCTGGTCCACCCCCTGTTTGGATATCAGCCAGCACGCCAATGACTTAAATCAAGAAATAGTTTTCTAAGGTCTACAGAGACACTCGCTGGAACACCTCAGCAAACGAGAGTCCAAAATGCTCAAACCCAGAACCTCAATGATTTTCCGGTCCCAATTCAAGGTGCAGGTTCTTACCTACAAAGCCCTGAACAGTTTGGGATCCGCCTACCTGCGTGACTGCATTTCTGTGTACGAACCCATACGATCTCTTCGATCATCTGGAGAGGCCCTGCTCGCACTCCCACCTCCTTCAAGGGACGAGGGAAAGGGTCTTCTCGGTGGTGCCCCCCCCCCCAACTCTGGAACACTCCCCAAGGACATCAGGCATGCCCAACTCTGGCAGTCTTTAGAAAGAGCCTGAAAACGTGGTTGTTCCAATGTGCCTCCCCAAAATTTGGAAAACTCTCAGCAATATGCCCTCAAAATGCACTTTACCACTGATTTAGGACTGACTGCGTTCCCTAATCTCTCTTTGAGTTATATCCTACCTTGCTCATGCCCAACATTATATTTTAAATTTTAAATTATTACATTTGGCCCAGCCATAGATTTTAAAATGCTTGTGTGTTACTGTTATTGTTTATTGTTATTTTTTGTTTATGTGATTTATTTTAATTGTTTTATATTGATTGTTTCTGTTATTGCCTTTGTTTACTGATGTACTGTGGACTTGGCCTCATGTAAGCCGCACCAAGTCCCTTGGGGAGATGGTAGCGGGGTATAAATAAAGTATTATTATTATTATTATTATTATTATTATAATCAATGGCTGATACCAAATGAGAGACTCCCTCCTGGGCACACAGAAAACTGGGCGACTTGTATCCTAATAGGGGAGTTGGGCAGGCTTTCTCTCTCAGGTTACAAATCACTGGGTGGGAGAGAGATTTCGAGTGGGAAAACTGCCAGGCGAAAAAATATTAAACAACTCTATGTCTGTTTCCAGTCTTTACATAAACATTGCTTAGAGGAAAAACACACATATGGTATCAGTGCAGGCTGAAACCCAAAACCTCAACCAATGGCTGATACCAAATGAGAGACTCCCCCCTGGGCACACAGAATACTGAGCGACTTGGAAGGCGCTGAACAAACTGTGCTCTGGCACCACGAGATGCAGAGCCAACCTTAAGAAATGGGGCTACAAGTGGAATCCACGACATGCAAGTGTGGAGAAGAGCAAACCACAGACCACCTGCTGCAATGCAACCTGAGCCCTGCTACATACACAATGGAGGACCTTCTTGCAGCAACACCAGAGGCACTCCAAGTGGCCAGCTACTGGTCAAAGGACATTTAATAGAATACCAAGTCTGCAAACTTTGTGGTTTGTTTGTTTGTTTGTTTTTAATGCAATACAACTGTTTTGGTTCGCTCCTGACACGATAAATAAATAAGTGCAATTCTTGGCAAACTTGAGGAATAATATATACTATTAAAACTACTGTAAATTGTTTTTCAGTAGCTATGAATAGGTAGGCTGATCCATGAAGTCACGAAGAGTCAGAAGCGACTGAATGAATAAACATGAATAGGTTATAAAGGTCCAGGATATGGCTACCAGTATTTTAAAGAAATGTAGTAATTGAAATTAGCTTGCATTGATTAAAAGTATATTTATATTTCACATAACATCTCCACTGGGATGTCTTGCCTATTGTGAGTCATAGGATCTTTTAAAAATCACCCAAATCAGATTTGATGCAAGAGATGTGCCACCAGAAGTTACTTGAAGGATTACTAGAAAGAGTGGGAAGAGATAATTAGATGAAGGACAATCTGAAGGACCATCAACAAATCCCTGTTGCCAGTTTCCTGATTTAAGGTGTTCCATACTCGGCCCTTGCAAGCCCAGTAGTATGGAGGCAATGTGTTGTTGTTGTTCATTCGTTCAGTCGTCTCCGACTCTTCGTGACCTCATGGACCAGTCCACGCCAGAGCTCCCTGTCGGCCGTCACCACCCCCAGCTCCTTCAAGGTCAGTCCAGTCACTTCAAGGATGCCATCCATCCATCTTGCCCTTGGTCGGCCCCTCTTCCTTTTGCCTTCCACTTTCCCCAGCATAATTGTCTTCTCTAGGCTTTGCTGTCTCCTCATGATGTGGCCAAAGTACTTCAACTTTGTCTCTAGTATCCTTTCCTCCAATGAGCAGTCGGGCTTTATTTCCTGGAGGATGGACTGGTTGGATCTTCTCGCAGTCCAAGGCACTCTCAGAACTTTCCTCCAACACCACAGCTCAAAAGCATCTATCTTCCTTCGCTCAGCCTTCCCTAAGGTCCAGCTCTCACATCCGTAGGTTACTACAGGGAATACCATGGCTTTGACCATGCGGATCTTTGTTGCCAGTCTGATGTCTCTACTCTTTACTATTTTATCGAGATTGGACATTGCTCTCCTCCCAAGAAGTAAGCGTCTTCTGATTTCCTGGCCACAGTCTGCATCTGACAGTAATCTTTGCACCTAGAAATTCAAAGTCTGTCACGGCCTCCACGTTTTCTCCCTCTATTTTCCAGTTGTCAATCATTCTTGTTGCCATGATCTTGGTTTTTTTGATGTTTAGCTGCAACCCAGCTTTTGCGCTTTCTTCTTTCACCTTGATTAGAAGGCTCCTCAGCTCCTCCTCGCTTTCGGCCATCAGAGTGGTGTCATCTGCATATCTGAGGTTGTTAATGCTTCTTCCAGCAATTTTAACCCCAGCTTTGCATTCCTCAAGCCCCACACATCGCATGATGTGTTCTGCATACAAGTTAAAAAGGTTGGGTGAGAGTATGCAGCCTTGCCGTACGCCTTTCCCAATCTTGAACCAGTCTGTTGTTCCGTGGTCAGTTCTGACTGTTGCTACTTGGTCCTTGTACAGATTCCTCAGGAGAGAGACAAGGTGGCTTGGTATGCCCATACCACCAAGAACTTGCCACAATTTATTATGATCCACACAGTCAAAGGCTTTAGAATAGTCAATGAAGCAGAAATAGATGTTTTTCTGAAACTCCCTGCCTTTCTCCATTATCCAGCAGATATTGGCAATCTGGTCTCTCGTTCCTCTGCCTTTTCTAAACCCAGCTTGAACATCTGGAAACTCTCGCTCCATGTATTGCTGGAGTCTTCCTTGCAGGATCTTGAGCATTACCTTACTGGCATGAGAAATAAGGGCCACTGTACGGAAGTTTGAGCAGTCTTTCGCATTTCCCTTTTTTGGTATGGGGATATAAGTTGATTTTTTCCAGTCTGATGGCCATTCTTGTGTTTTCCATATTTGCTGGCATCTGGCATGCATCACCTTGACAGCATCATCTTTTAAGATTTTAAACAGTTCAGCTGGGATCCCGTCGTCTCCTGCTGCCTTGTTGTTAGCAATGCTTCTTAAGGCCCATTCATCCTCACTCCTCAGGATGTCTGGTTCTAATTCATTCACCACACCGTCAAAACTATCCTCGATATTATTATCCTTCCTATACAGATCTTCTGTATAGTCTCGCCACCTTCTCTTGATCTCTTCAGCTTCTGTTATGTCCCTGCCATCTTTGTTTCTTATCATACCAATTTTTGCCTGAAATTTACCTCCAATGTTTCTAATTTTCTGGAAGAGGTCTCTTGTCCTTCCTATTCTGTTGTCTTCTTCCACTTCCATGCATTGCTTATTTAAAAATAGTTCCTTATCTCTTCTGGCTAACCTCTGGAATTGCGCATTTAACTGGGCATATCTCCCCTTATCACTGTTTCCTTTTGCTTTCCTCCTTTCTTGGGCTATTTCCAGTGTCTCAGCAGACAACCATTTTGCCTTCTTGGTTTTCTTTTTCTTTGGGACGTACTTTGTTGCCGCCTCCTGAACAATGTCTCGGACTTCTGTCCATAGTTCTTCTGGGACTCTTGTTTACTAAATCTAGTCCTTCAAATCTGTTCTTCACTTCCACTGTATATTCGCTAGGAATGTTAGTGAGATCATATCTAACTGGTCTGTGTATTTTCCCTGATCTCTTTAGTTTTATTTTAAATAGAGCAATAAGAAGTTCGTGATCTGAGCTACAGTCAGCCCCAGGTCTTGTTTTCACCGACTGGATGGATGTCCGCCACCTTTGGCTGCAAAGGATGTAGTCAATCTGATTTCGGTGCTGACCATCTGGTGAAGTCCATGTATAAAGATCATTCTGTCATTTTTTGGGTTGTATCCAAGCACTGCTTTAGCGAATTTCTTATTAATTATGAAGGCTACTCCATTCTTCGATGTTCCTCTTGTCCGCAGTAGTAGATCTGGTGGTCATCTGATGTGAAGTGGCCCATTCCAGTCCATTTCAGTTCGCTGACCCCCAGAATGTCTATCTTCAGTCTTGACATCTCACCAATAACAACATCCAATTTGCCCTGGCTCATAGATCTTACATTCCAGGTTCCTATGGTGTGTTGATCTTTAGAGCATCGGATTCGTGTTCACCTCCAGTACCGTCGGCCGCTAGCCTTCCTTTCGGCTTTGAGCTAGCTGCGTCATCACATCTGGGGCTAGTTGAACTTATCCTCTGCTCCTCCCCAGTAGCATTTTGGCCATCTTCCGACCTGGGAGTCCCATCTTCCAATGGCATACCGACATATCTCTCGTTGTACTGGTCCATTTAGTTTTCTTGGCAAGGATACTGGAGTGGTTTGCCATTGCCTTCCCCAGGGATCACGCTTGGTCTGACCTCTCTGCCACGACCGTCCCGTCTTGGGTGGCCCTTCACGGTTTCGCTCATGACATCATTGAGGTGCTCAAGCTCCAGCGCCATGACAAGGCGGTGATCCTTTGCTGGAGGGAGGCAATGTAGAATATGAATATAACATGGGACACAAGATTAGCACCTCTCCTGCAGTGCTATGATGCTCTTTCTGGATCACCTGATATATTAAAACATCTAGGACCCCATCATGCTAGAGAATGAATCCAGCAGAATTCTGGGGTTTGTTGTTGAAGGAGGAGCCTTTAACAGCCTCACTAAATTAAAAAACCCAGAATTCTGCAGGAGGCAGAAACCGGATTTAAAGTGGATTCATTCTCTAGTGTGATGGGGTCCTAGATGTTTCAATATATCAGGTGATCCAGAAGAGCATTGCAGTACTGTAGGAAAGGTGTGATGAGTCCTTAAAGATACAATGGAACTCAGTTGTTAGGATTTTGAGCATCAGATGTGACTTTGATCCTAGTCAGCTGCCTTCTTAAATACAGTAAATCTTTAAATAGACATAACAAGTGGAAATCCTTCCTTGGCAATAATCCGCAAAGCTTTTTGTACAGAAATATTATGTGAATTATCATCATTGTTTATTTATTTAGCACCATTATTGAACATGGTGCTTTATAAGTAAAAGAACAACAAAAAAGCAGTTCTCTGCCCTCATGTGTACAATCTAATTAAGACATAATACAAAAGGAAAATGGGATAGAAGTGCGAGAGAGAATTATATCTAGCAGGTACTGCCGCTTCTTTTCTCCTTATGAGGCCAGAACAGCAGGAGTTGGGCTGGAGGATCCTTCATCTGCTTCTGGGCTGAGGTATGATGAGACTGTGCCTGCCTCTTTTTCTCTACCTCTGTGGCCAGGGCAGTGGCAGTCGATATGGAGGGAAGAGCCCTTCATCTGTTTCTAGGCCTGGACAGCATGGAGCTGTATCTGGCTCTTCTCTACCTTTGGGTCAGGCCCTGCAGGCATGTAGGGGGGGGGGGGATTGAGGGGCTTCACCCCCCCCCCCCGAAATTCTCATGGTGGTCCGTGAGAAGACCTTACTGGTACATTGTTATGTTTATTCATATCATGATCTGATCACCATGCTCAATATATCTCATATGTATGGGGGTATTGGGGTAACGATACAAAAGGTTTGCTAGGGTAGACCCTCTTTCACTCAGACTCAGCCCCCCCCCCCCAAATCAAACTCAGCTCCCCCCGAATCAAAATCCTGGCTACGGGCCTGATACGGGCCTGGGTCAGGGCATTGGCAGTAGGTATGGAGGGAAGAGCCTTTCATCTGTTTCTGGGCCTAGACAGGATGGGGCTGTGCCTGCCTTGTCTCTATCTCTGATGTCCAGGCAGTGGCAGTCAGTATGGAAGGAAGAGCCTTTCATCTGCTTCTGAACCTAGGTGTGATGAAATACAATATAAAATGTGGTCTTATTTTAAGAGAAACAATGTACTTGTCTGGATCCCAAATACAAACAGAAGAAAAGAGCAGAGGAGGGAGGATGTGCTTGAAACTAATTAGTATCCATTTTAGCAGCTTTACAATTGTTCTGTAAACTCAGAAGCATTATGGAAAGTCCCACATGGAAACTGCCAGTTCTGCATGTGACACAGAAGAAGTGTCCTGATGATACTGTGCAAGCCAGTTAAAATCACCTATCCTTGACAAATAAAAGTACAGCAAAAACATTAAGATCCCAGAAGAGGAAAATATCTATTTCTTGATTACCAGAATGTCTTCTTCAGACTCTGAAATGCACATATTGATATTATTCTTGAATATTGATTATGGCTTGCACAAACTTTGCATTGATTGTGGCTCGCATATATGTTAGCAGAATTTAGGCTTCTGATGTACTTAGATGAAAAATACCTTATAGTTCTCTTCATATATACAAGCCCCAGTAAAAAAAGTTGAATACTATATATACAGTCGGAAATATAATCCTTGAGTATGTGTCAATGACATGGTTATTCTGCAAAATGATTCTGCCCACGTTCCCCCTCAAGGATCTTTTCCTTTTCATGCGAGTTGTATCTAGATTAGCAATACTGGGTGCTCGATCTCGTGTTGAGTTCTCTGTGGAATTAACTGAAAAGGTGGTCAGATCGATATCAGTGTCCGTGTCATGGTAGCAACCATCAAAAGCCATAGCTTGCACTGCATCAATGTTATACATTTCAGCCTATGAAAAAGGGAAAATATTATTATTATTAGTCAATAAGATGATGGGGAAATCTGAAACACACATATAATTGGAGACCCAAAGGCACTCTATTATATCTTAGTTCATAACTGGAGGAGGAGGAGACGGAAGAGGAGTGGGAAAAGGAGAAGTTGCTTCCCAGATGAGAATGGTCTGAAGGCTTATCAATAGGAGAAACACTTTTAAATTTGTTCACATTCTAATATTAAATGCTAAAAAATATTTGGGCGCATTAAAGACTAAACAAGTGGCATTATAGTATAAGCTGTCATATAGGACTTACCCTAGGAAACTTGCTGCCTGAAACAAAGGACAAAATGGCACGTACATGCAAATCCTCCAGTCCATGTACAGAAGCCAATTGGATGAGGGATATACAGGTATTCCAAAATCAAAATTCAAAATACAGAACACTTCTAATATCAAGCATTTCAGATAAGGCGTATGGAACCTGTGTTTTAACTTTTTGAAATGAACTCCATTAGCAATTGCTTGTGTTTATTATTTATTGCAATGTCATTATTACTAGTGAGTTTTTGTCTCTGTTTGTTATTCTAAGAACCAGTTTACATTGTCAGGAAAAATGAAGAAACACGCAGATGCATACCTTCCCTCTCTTTTTTAGCTGTTTCCTTTCTTCCACAGTGGTGAGATAATTTACAGCTGCATATTCAATGACAGAGAGGAAGACAAAGAGGAAACTGATCCACAAGTATACATCCACTGCTTTTATGTAAGACACCTGAGGCATTGAGGCACTTACTCCTGTGATTATGGTCGACATTGTCAGCACAGTGGTTATACCTGCCGAAAGGAAAGGAAAAGAGCTAAAACATGTGTAACAATACCTGATGTGCAAATGGCTAGTATCTCCTTTACACTGTCAGAAAAAAATAGGAACTAGAAAAGATCAGAAAAAAATGACTTTAGTGTTGATTTGTGATATTATTGCCAGATTTCAACTAGTGTCCAAGGATCAGTAGCAATATAAGGTCAGTAGATTACCTGTCCTCCAAGCATTTATAGATTTTCAGTTGAAAACTTGGGAGAGGTACAGGGGATTGGCTCATCTTTCGATTTTAAAATGCACCAAAAAGTTATTTTTATGACTACAAATGCCAGAATGACTAAGCTAAGAAACACCAGCTTTTTGGCCAGATCAGTCATTCCTTTCAGACAGGGCAAAAGTGACTTTACAATAAATTATTTCTGGCACTGATGACTACATGGGAGATGCTGAGTCAATTAAACCTACAGACAGTTCATCTTCTCCCTCTTGTACTGCTGCAGCTCACAACCCTTGTGGCACCATATGAAAAAGCAAAGAGGAATTTACATTTCTTTTACCACTAATGAGAGAAATGTGAGGACAACTTACAATAATGCTTACATAGTTATCTACAGATGAATCTTGTCTAACCACAAAGCTTTGCAAAATATTTTCAGAAGAAACCTTACCCAGGGATACCCTTGCAGGAACAGCTCTTCGGTCAATCCAAAATGAAACCCATGATAGCATCACCATCAGCATAGATGGGAAATAAGATTGTAGCACAAAAAAGAAAATATGCCTCCTCAAGCCAAAGTTTATAAATAGGCGATTGTACCAACCTAAGATGAAGACATTGTTTATTAACATCCATCCACATTATGTTCCACCTTCTATATAACTGTCTCTCACTAATAGTTACATAGTCCCCACATCCTTTATTTACTTCAATAACCATGTTTGATATTTCCCTTTAATACCAGAGCTTGGAAAGTTTACTTTTTTGGTCTTCAGCTCCCAGAATCGCCTTGCTAACATGGTCAGAGATAGACAAAGCTATTTTTTGTTCTATAGTTCTCAGATGACCAAACCATAGTGACCAAAGAATTATGAGAGGTGCAGCAGTTTTTCAGAGCTTTGTTTAATACTACAAAACGAATCAACTGAAAGTTCTCAACATTTTATTTTACATACAAATACTACAGTTTAATTCCATCTACATTTCTCTGCAAAAACCCCTTTGGGAACCTCACTGACATATCGGTCAGCAGTCCTGCTGGCACAAGGGTTTAACCCATTGCGCCACCAGGGGCCCCAAGTATGAATGAGTGTTATTACTGTGAATTTGATATAATAGGAGCCAGCCATGAGAATGAGGGTATAAACCTGTAACAAAGTTTACCCACCTAAAATATTCATCATCACAGCAACATTTTCCATCATAGCAATATTGAAAAGCAAGAGCATTGTCAAATGATGGGAAGTACCAGAAACACTATCAAACCACAAGCTAAACACAACCACAATGAATTATGATTAAACCCACAATGAACTTCACTGTGAAGTATACGTTCTTATCCTTGTGAAAAGGCTTCTGATGCTCTCTAAGGTTATATTTGCTTTTGTCTTCTCATTAACATTAATATGTTGATGTTAAACAGACTATCCGATTAGGACCAGTGGCATTATACAGATGAGACAGTGCCATCTAGTGAAACACAATTGGTATAGTCCTACAGTACTTAAATTAAAAGAAGAAAAATATAGCGACTAAAGTGGAAGTCAGTTTCTATTGCATTACATTATATTGTAGTGAAAATTCAGCTCTTACTATTTTTATAGTAAGAGGTTGTTTGAAAGACTGCCCTCACTCATGTAAACCTGCCCAGGTGGGGAAGATCACCAAGAAAGTCTTTCTCCCACGCCTGCAACCGTCAAAGGCATGTTTAGTGCAGATGTTGCCTTACAGGTTCTGAAGCTCTAGAACACTTCACCAGGAGAATCTAGGCTGGTTCCCTCTTTGTTCCCCTTATGCCAGCCAAGAGCTTTCTTGTTATTACTTGGCATTTAAGTTGGTTTATTGCTGAAGAGATTTTTAAAAAATATCAGGAAGATCTGCTTTTGTTGTTTTTAATTGTCTCTTAAAATATTTTATGTCTATATTTAAATGGAAATGCTATTTTATCTGGAATTGTATTGTTACCCATTCTGAGAACTCTGTTTTGACAAAAAGATGGGGTACAAATTAAATAAGGGAGCCCCCAGTGGTTCAGTGGGTTAAACCGCTGAGCTGCTGAACTTGCTGATTGAAAGATCACAGGTTTGAATCCATTCAGCGGGGTGAGTTCCCACTGTTAGCCCCAGTTTCTGCCAACCTAGCAGTTCAAAAACATGCAAATGTGAGTAGATCAATAGGTACCGCTCCGGTACCTATTGATCTACTGCATGCAGTCATGCCAGCCCTGGAGATGTTTATGAACAATGCCGGCTCTTCGGCTTAGAAATGGAGATGAGCA